AGAAATGTAAACGAAGTGAAAATATTCCCCAAAATTTTCCGAAAGGCATGTCATTTCCGGAATTTATGATACGTTATATTACCGAACATGCGTGAAAATGGAACGTTTGTTCGTTCATTTTACGAGAGCTAAATAAAACGCGAACATCCAAGCATCGGGTATGACTCCATCATTGTTTGCCTAATACTACTTGCCATACAGCATATCAAACAAGGCCCATTTTCAATCAAACTTGGCCCAACTACTATCAGGCGGATGTCCTTAAAAAATCAAATTGACATGATTACCAAAGCCTAATAGTTGCCATGGCAACCATAGAAATGGGCTTAAAAATGAGATCAAAAAGCACCCAAACCCACCATAATGGCACTAATTTATAAAATATTGTCGCGCCGGGCTGGGCCGATTCCCAGGAGTACCCTGTATGCAAACTTCAGGAAAGGCCAGGGACGATATAATACAGGGATTTTAAAATCTATTCCAACATAGAATAATGGTACAAATAATTTCAAAATGTCTATATAGAGCTTGAATGTCTCTGTAATTGTTCACTTCAGCTTCTTCCAGTCTTCTCTCTCTTCTAATAACTCCTCTTCTCACAAATAATAACCTTCTTGAATAATTGTAGGAGGAGGAGGATCTGCTCCTCTGAACTATCTTCACCCTCTAGGAGGTCCTTCTGCTCCAACTGGTAAAATGGCCTGAGGAGGATCTGCTCCTCTGAAGCTTTCTTCACTCTAAACTGGAATTTAACCTCGGGGAGTTCCTTCTGCTCAAGGTATCGTCTCGTCTATATCACTGTTTCAATGTGATATCTATGGAGGAGGAACCACTCGGGAATGTCAATCAATACTCTGAGATAAGACCCGAGATGTAACTGCTCCCAGTAAACGCACACCAATGTCCCTCAGAGTCTTCTCACCTCAGAGGAATCAGGGCTCCAGGAGTTTTGGTTCCGGAAGTGTAACCTCGTCTCTGGGAGTTCTCTTATCTCTGTTAAACTGTCTCGTGGAAGGGGTCCAGGCTCTGGGAGTATCTTCTGCTCGGGGAGTCGCCACTTCACAGGAGAAACCTCTTCTTTTGTACGAGACCCTAGCTATTGGAGTACCTTCCACTCCAGGAGTTGTCTCGTCTCAGGAAAAACCTCTGCTCCTGAACGCAACAATGGCTATTGGGAGTACCTTCCGCACCGGGAGTCTTCTCGTCTCTATAATAACTTCTGCTCAACCTCTCTCACACTGTCTCTTGGAAGGAGTCCAGACTCCGGGAGTATCCTCTGCTTAGGGAGTCACCACTTCACAGGAGAAACCTCTTCACCCTCTACAGAGAAATAACACCTCTGGAATGTCAATCAGATGGTGAGATTAGACCAGAGCTGCTACTTCTCAATCGTGGAGTACCTTAGTTCCGGTGGAGTAACCTTGGCTCCAATGAGAGTAAACCTTGCAACACAGAAATACTTTGGTTCCGGTAGTGTAACCTCAGTATCTAGCTTCTGGAGGAGTCAAATCACCTCGGAGGGTACGTCAAGTTCAGCAACTTGTATCAATTTCGGATCATCAATAACTCGGAGGAGAAGGAGCAACTCACGAATATCGATCATTAAACTGAGATTAGACGGAGCTGTATCCTCAACACTCGGAGCAAATTCCACTCTAGAATCGATGGAGGAGTGCGTGCTTTGAGCCAACAATCCTCAGAGCAGGTATGGCTCTCGAATATCAATCAAACTGAGATTAGACAAGAGCCTTAATTACTCGGAGCTGGCGATCCTCGGGGCAAATGGAGGAGTAATTGCTCGGAGCTGGGAATCCTCGGAGCAGATACAACTCTCGAATATCAATCACAACTGAGATTAGACAGAGTTGTAACTACTCGGACCAAATATAACTCGGAGGAGATATAACATAATAATTGGAGGAGTAATAACTCGGAACAGTGACCTCTCGGAGCAGATACGACTCTCGAATATCAATCAAACTGAGATTAGACATGATATAACTACTCGGAAAAGGAATCACTCCTAAAAATGACGTCACTTCCGTAAAAATAAAGATGACCAACCGCTGGGAATTCTGGGAAGAAGAAATCAAAATGGCGGACAGCAATATGGCGTCAAACTCAATAATCAAATTGCCGACTCACCCAAAACTGGCTGTTATCTTCTTGTATCTCGCACAGTCAAAAACGAATGCAAAACTGCAGCAAATACTGACAGCCAATAATCCAAATAACCTGTAGATTGTCTAATATAGTTCTCAATTCAAATCGATCACACTCCCACATAAAACGATACAAATTAACGAGGTCTTTCCTCTGCAAAGTATTGGTTTACTCTGATTTACAAGTCACTTTCTCACGCTATTATCCCAGCCAGCTCCATTTGCATCATGGGAAAGTACAACTTAAATTGGCGGTAAATTTAAATAAAGACATCTGATTGGTGGAGCTCTGTTGCTGGGTGGTTAATTATGCTAATTTATTCCAAGGACGTCTGCTGATTCAGTAAACATCCAAGTGCCTACGTGAGATTCTGCATGTACACACTACTTAAGAAAATTCCAAATTACAGGGACGGAACATTGAATAAACATGAAATAACATAAAATCTTGTAAAATAAACGTTTATATGCCCTAGTTACTACTCAGGGGGAATTAAAAAAATCCCACAATATTTCTAGATATACACATTTTCTTAAACTTTGATATCATCTAGAACACTTCTAGACAACAAAAATGTCAAAAATTGGGGGTAGGTTTACCACTTCGATTTTTTTCTAGGCTTGGTCAAAGTAAAACTACGAAAAAGCACTAATTTTTACTTTTGAATCACCTATTATCGTCCAAATGGCTTCAGAATTATTCAATAGTATAAGGACTATTCTGTACTTTTTTCAAAAGTCTATACTTAAATGTTGTAAAAAGTTATAATCGAAAAACCATCTTTCGGAGTAAAGTCCGACTGCGCCGATTTCAATAACTTCGTACTTGATCAAAACTGGGTTCCAACAGAATTCCTACAAACTCATGAATGAAATAGCCATTGCATGGAATACTTACTTTTGTCAAAATCAAAGTAGAACTCTAGTTAAAAAATATATTGTGCTAAATTATTGCCATTTCTTAGTAAAATGTCGTTCTCCGGTACGTTGCCAAAATTATTCGATGGTACCCCGTGATAGTAGGAGGTTTAAGTGTATGTACTGTGGCCATTTGAGGTATGTATGTAAAGCTGAGGCCAAGTACTTTCTAAGTGTGCCATTTTTAGAAAAAAATCTCAAGAATATGGTCCGTAAACAGGAACTACTTTATTTGTTTATTTTCATCAGTGAAGCAGGAATATGTTGGTGTAGTGATATTTAAAAATCGAGACGCAAACCCTGTGTTAAATATAGTGTCAAGATGAACGTTATGTATAGGGGATTGGAGAAATATAGTCATTGTATGGGCTAATTCGTTCGAAAATGGCGATATGTACCCCAGCAGGTGTGAGTACCGTAATCCAACACCAAATTCGAAAATTCAGAACAATACTTTGCACTTATGGCGTTCGTGATCAACTATAAAACGCTTACCCCCCCATAGTGTTATATATCAAAATGTACCTGTTCATATAGGGGTTCGATTGATCTACATCAAATTATAGGGAGTCAGGTTACATTTTGAGATATCAGCGTCCATTTATTGTAACTCGCGTTTGCTACCATTTCCTCAATTATGAGATGACGAGCAAACGCGTAGTAAACATGCTCACGCCGGAACTATTTTGACCTACATCGCTATTTTCGTAATTCAAATGAAAGTTGAACTCCTCTTTATTCATACAAAATAGTGGCATACTAGGTACCCTAGAAGCCAACTATGGTGTTATTTAGAACAAAACCACAACTTTTTTAAATGGACTCTATAGGGTCATACCTTTTGGCAGATGGATATGGAACCTCACAACGGAACTTGAATTTTGTGATTTTTTTCAATATTTTTCAATGATTTACCGTAGTCACACCATAACGTATCATAACTTCCGGAATGACATGCCTTTCGGAAAATTTTTGGGAATATTTTCACTTCGTTTACATTTCTTGTATAACTGTACTTATTGTTGATCGGACGGAAAGATAAGCTGATGTAGTTACACTAGAGTTCGTTTACTACCATTTGGAAGGCACGTGAGGGTCCCATTCATCAGGTAACACTCATATGTCGAAGTTATGTTCTTATTATTTTTAACAGTTAACCAAGTTTAGATCAATATTTTCAATAAAATCAGGGACATCTAAAACGTTCTTCGAACGGGAATGATATCCCAAATTTGAAATCCCAATCTCCTTTCGCCAGAACATTCTCTCTGACTGTGAATAAAATGAGATGTCGAAAAACCATGGGCTTTCAATTAGAAGGGTATGCAACTCTGTGTAATAGCATGAGACCTTTAAAATGAGCAATGCCATGCTTCCCATTTATGGTAATATTTCAAAAGGTATAAGATAATATGTATATGTTTTAGTATTAGTTTGAATAAAAATCAATTTTCAATATGATTTAAGCATAATATATATTCAATATCATGTAAAAGTAAACTAAAAAGACCAATAAGAATAAGAGGTATCAAAATGTTCTCTTCGAGTATTGCATTGTGGGTAATTATTGAAGAACACATTCCAATAAAAACATAATTTGTGGGAGAATGTTCACTTTCTTTATTGCCATAATTATGATGAATTCCCTTTTTTATTAAATTATCAATGTGTATGTAGATGATCATGTTTTTATTTTTGAGTTATCTCTTTAATCATCAATTAAAAGTACAAAATAAGATTTTTTTGGAATGTGTACATTCTCCAATTTTGAAAACCAAGGCAATGCTTATGTATTAAATATGGGAAGTTGCCTACCCTTTTAGTTGAAAGCCCATGGAAAAACAAAAAAAGAAAGGTTTCAGATATTTTCTGATATTTAGAAAAAGTCTGACAAAATAAACATTTGAATCAATGGCTTACAGTTTCTGGTTAAGTACGCTTTGTCCCTGGGGTTGGAAATCACTCACAGTTATTCCAATTTGTCGTGTATTTTCAATAAACAATTCCAAATTTTGTTCAAGATTCTCAAACTTGTCCGCCATGTTTTATGGGAGCATTTCTTGCTGGTCAGTCAAAATCAATCAAGATGTATTTAGAACACTGAACAAACAAAGTGATACCTATATCAAATTTATTTTCATCATGTAGTCTATCTTAATCAATGTATTAGAGATATCGTATTGTAATGTCTCAACTCTTGATATGCATTTTCAAATGTCACAGAAATGAAATAACAAACGATCATACTTCGCGCATGCGCAATATAGAAAATTAAAAATATTGAAAAAATTTTATAATTATTATTTCCTCTGAAAAATATGTGATCTTATACGTGTATTATCGATTTAATCTTTCAAAACGTAGTACAGACGTGATAATGCTTACATAAGGAGACGTATTATACCGTAAAGATGAGCCGTATAAGGCTTCCACGTCAGAAGTCACTCATAATGCCAGAGGTGAAAAATCCATTTGTGCACAAAATCCACCTCACATGGCTAGACAAAATCAGGGTAGGTTTCGTGTTAATGATTTTCTAAAGTTTGTAATTTTTAATAGGGATAAACTGGGAGATACCTAGATGTGCATGCTATTAGACAAATCTTCTTGATCATTTCTTCGGGTCCGTGTTTCAAGATAGCTTACAGGCCTGTAGCCAGGATTTGCAAAGGGGGGTTCACATTTTGGAAAATTCCAAGGGGGTTCACTTTTGACAATTTTGGTCTAAAAATGGCCAAAATCACTTAAAAAGTGCTCAGAATGGTGAAAAACTGCATGATTTTGAGAATTTTTGGCCAGCAATTCAAGTTGTGATGTGGAAAAATGGCGAACATTCGATTTGAAATTTTATGATTATGACATGACCCCTATACAGCAGTAAAAAACATGCAGGGATTTATCTTTGGACGAAGGCCACGACATAGTGGCCTATAGAAGAAGGTAAATCCTAACACTTACCTGAGTCTCTAGCCAATTCTTGGCTAGAAGTAATTCCATCTGGAACACTGTGAATTATTGTAATGTTTCTAGCCGGGGTTCAATAAATTTAAGTAATATTCTAAAAACCGTCATGTTAATATTTCATGAAATGAAATGGTAACAGCTTCTCTTGTTGATGAGATATTGAACATTTTCATTTAAAATAGAAGTAATCCCATTTTTTCTGTTCTCAATAAGCTTACATATAGAGGGCAGCCTAGTAGACAGGAAAATCTGAGAAATTTTATTTCATTATGAAAAAGAATAAGTATCATGGGAGGTAGACGATTCTATGGACTGTGTGTAAAGATCAATGAAGGTGAGGTTTCTATGTTTACATCAATTAAAATATCCCGGCCGGGCAATTTAAAACAACAAAGAGTTAGTGGCTATAGAAAATGGCAACCTTAAACATTCCTCCACAGAAATTGCCCTGATCTTTCTGGTGATCTCCCTCTTCAGGTCAACTATGGGGTTAAGGGTTTGTTTCATACAATGATCTTTCTAGTACCTCAGAGATAAAATTTTGAGGGTTCATGTCAGACGAATGTGGTACCCATTCAGTTGCGGACTTTGCCCGTAGAATCCAGGTGTGCCTATTAAGGAATGGACAACATTCAGAGTGCATCATGTAACACTCATAAAAGTGTATCTAGTTGAGCTAGTCGTCTGAAACTTATTGTCGAGTCTTGTTAGGCCATAAGAAGTAGACTCTCTGTTTTGCGTCCTGGCAAAATCCAAATCATACACGGGTACAGGGAAAACAAACACAAACTCAAGATAAAACACAAACTAGTGTTTGCTGAGGAACGTATACATTTTAATGGGCATAAAAAGGGATGACATACCAATTTGCAGTGATTACAAACACATATCTATACATTTTATACAATATATTTAAACATAGCTATTATTCAGGGCAAGAATAAGAAAATTCACAATGTATGACAAAGTAATCAACAACACTGTCAATTTTGACGCACATCAAATTATCCACCATTTCGCCTGATTCTGATTGAACGAAATGTGACCAGGTACTGTCAGACCCTTGTAATTGTTATTTGGATGTGTTTTTTTTTCTGATTTACTCAAAATCGTGCAAGCTAGGGGACACAAAACAAAGAATCGTAACTTTTATGGCCTTACAGACTTATGCAACATTATGTGGTTGGCATATTCTGTGTGACCCTATAGATAACAATGATGCATGTTGGTTTTTAGATTGCACTGATGACAGTAACTGTGTTTCCGATACGTGTGATACTAATAGTTTTACTGCTATTGCTCGCTTGGCCATTGGCAGCTGTTGCGATTGCATGTCGCAATCAAGAAGGGAAAAAAGAGCCTATGGCCGGTTGGAGGAGGTAAGAGACCCCTTTAGTTAATTGCCAGCATATTTCTTTTTGAAGTCAGAGACCCTTTGAATACATTACAAATCATATTTCATTCAAGGGTAAGAGTCACATTAAATACATTTACCTTTGGAGGTTAAAACTCCTTACAAAATAACGTATCATATTTGAAATCACCAGTTATATTTCTTTATTGCATATTATGCCATTGCCTATTACTAATCAGTTCAATTAAATACCTGTTTTTGGACATATTTTTGCACATAATTTTTTGATAACGTTGATACATGACTTGAAACTTATTGCTTGCCTTGCATTTTCTAATTCAATTATCTTTAATGCACTAAGAAATGGTTGCTTCATTAGGAAATATTTAGTCATAATTAGTATTTTCAATGGATTTGTATGAGATGCATTTTTCTTATTTTCTAGGCCATTTATAATTGAACTTTATTCCACATATCATATTTACTTTTTCCTTCCTTTTCAGTATTTTAACACTTACAATCGTCACAGTTTGGCGATTGGTGTTCTTTGTAGGGGGGTTCCATTGGATATCTCTGACGGGAAAATTGGCACCATTGGAAGAAGCACCCGTTTTAATTGCAGGGCCACATAGTTCGTATTTTGATGCCCTGCCGCTAGTTATATGCGGTGGCCCTAGCATCGTCACTAAGTCCTCCAATATTAGCATTCCAGTGTTCGGAAGTATGTTTTTCAGCAATGTTGGACGTTCATTTCTCTATGCTATGTTGCATGTTGAAAACTTTTCTGGCAGTGGAAATTATTTCGTTTGATTTCTTTGGCTAATATATATTTTTTGCTAACTTGTTTAGTGAAGTGGAAAAACTTTTCAGTTCAGTTCAGTTTAATATACTCCATCCATACAGTATACTCCATATTAATAAGAACTGGCCAGATACGGTAATTTATTTTCATTTGAATTTCACAATTATTATAGCATTTTCTGAAAGTTGAGAAAATAAAGTAGTCTATGTATGCTCACTATCTTGGTTGGCGCACCTTATAGTCTAACATATTTTTGAATTAGTATTTTGCATTATACTCTCGTTAAAATCACTGTTTTTATAAAATTATAGCGTTGAAAGAGCTAGAAAAATACACTGTTTATTTACTGCATTAGTATTTATTCTTATTCCACACAATATCATAGAATGTACATCATCAAATTTACTTAATTTTCTCTGCCAGAATCGGAATGCATGTAAATGTAGCTTTAGTCCCATATGAGATGTATACTGTACTTATTTATTATGTGTACCAATTTTACAACTGAAATGTGAGAACAATTTTACCAAGATTCATAATCAACACAATGTTTCTCAAAAAAATAATTTAGAACACAGTTTTATCCTTCCTGAAAATCCTTTCTTTGTCATGATTTCTCTGATTTTTCTTGACAAGTCAAACAATTACTTCACATTTCTGTTTTGTTATTGGTGCACACAATCCCCCTGGGCTTATAATGGAATGATTATTAAATATTGTTAATATTATTTTTTCTTCAATTTTCTTTAGTTTTAGGTGTCACCAATAGGTGGGTGACTCACCTGGTGTATTTGATATCCATGTTTAGGGCCATTTATGAATATATATGTGTCATGTTTAATAGTAGAATGTACATGTATGTAGAAGTGTATACCATGTTGATCATACAGGGTGGTAAAAAAAACGGAAACCCTGCATTTTCCTCATATCTTTGTCATTTTAAGAAATTACTCCCTGATATTTCACACATTTGTAAATCATTCAATTTCCTACTACCCTACCATATTTCATGACCATCAGACTGATAGTCACAATTTTACAGCACTTTGAACAACATGCTTCAGGTTTGGCCATCATCGCGCTGGAGGCTAACCTGCACAGTTGTCAATGATCCAAATGCATTTCTCAGCAGGTTTGGCCTGAATGATACAGATGATCTCACTTTTGATGTCTGCAATTGTCCTAAGGTCTTATACACTCTATCTCTGCCATATTCCAATAGGTAGGGACATTTTGGATGACATGTGCAGGTTGGTCTACAGCGCAATAGTGGCCACTGGGAATGTTCTTTAAAGTGCTGTAACACTGTGACTATCAATCTGATGATCATGAAATAGGGTAGGCAAATAGGAAATTGAGTGATGTACAAATGTGCAAAGTTATTTCTTAAAATGACAAAGATATTAGGAAAACGGTGTTAAGGTTTCCAGTTTTTTTTGACCACCCTGTACTTAAAATTGAAAGAAAATTCAATGAAATGAAGTATTTATTGGACATTTTAGAGAAAACATCTATGATATAAACATGGCACTCATATACGACCCTAGAATAAAATACATGTTCAGGGCCAACCACAAAATGGTGGAACAGAAAGGAATGAAGTCAAAATTTGGTCATCAGAATTAGAGAAATCTAGTTTTATTGAGCCAATTGGTGAATTTCTAGATTTTATTTGAAATTACAAAGATGATGCTTTAATTTTTTTGTTAAAATCTCTTTTCCAAATACTCTGCAACTTTATTTGGTAATTTCTCACTAATGACATTCTGTTTGCGACCAGCCCTCATTCGAATTCCAATGACCTTATTTGGATTAAGTGAATATATATGCTCCTAACAACTTGCTTGCTTTGCATCAAATGTTGTATGACATACGTAGCTATTAGTGCACATTTTTTATTAGAGCCATGCGTGTTCCGTTGCGATTCATGGGCCGAACTATGTTTTTCATCTTTGGATTCCACTGGGTGCGGGTCAAAGGCATCCAAGCTAGCGCAAAAGAGGCACAAATCCTGATCAGCGCCCCTCATTCGTCGTTCATGGATGTTATTGTGCTGTTCATAAGTGGTCTCTGCAGTGGGGTCTCGAGGATTGAGAATTCCCAGGCTCCTGTGCTTGGAAGTATGTTTCAGTTTGGTTGCATATGTGATTCGTTATATTGACATTAATCACTTAATGAGGGTCTTAAAGTGCAGCTGTACTCTATATGAAATGTACCATTCTGAAATGTACCATTATAAAATATACCATTCTGGAATTACTATATTCACTAGAAAATATGCAAAAAATGTGTGAGCCCTGAATATTGATAATTATAACAAAATATTCGGACCATTGTTATATCCACTTTGCATTTTTGGCATAGTATAATACAGGGTATACGTGTACTTACAAATCTCATCATTTGGATTACAAAAATGAAATTAGACCTGGAGAAATATTTAAATAGAAAATTGATAAAGTTATAAAAATAGCTAAATCTGCTTTGTTTGTACTTTCGAATGGGTACAGCTACTTTCCCTCAGACTCATAGTCTATAGATTTGTGATTTGTGTTTCGATTTCATCTGTTCTGTGTTTCTGTACTAATCATGTTATTGATTAGACTTAACTTAGATAAGTACATCCATTTCCCAAATTCTAAACTTGATCTGATATTGAAGTAGATAACTGCACATCTCAAACATTCTGGATATAATGCCCTTGTATATACATAATGCCCTTGTATATACATAATGCCCTTGTATATACATAATGCCCTTGTATATACATAATGCCCTACTTCTTGCATTAATGTCTTCTCTCGATCTCAGTCTCTCATTCTCATATATTTGAAAAAACATGAATCAGTTGAACAATTATATCTCTTAATTTGATAAAAGTAAGATATAGGGACTTTCTTACTCAATCAAAAGGAAATTCAAAGTTGAGAATACATCAAACATACTACAGTAAAACTATAGATGAAATACACTTATTGCGTTTAAACACTCATTTTCTGATGCCATACACTCATTGTCTGATGTTTTACACTCATCGTCTGATGTTATACACTCATTGTCTGATGTTATGCACTTTTTGTCTGATGGTATACACTCATTGTCTGATGTTATACACTCATTGTCTGATGTTATGCTGACTTTTTGTCTGATGGTATACACTCATTGTCTGATGTTATACACTCATTGTCTGATGTCATACACTCATTATTTTATGCCAATGCACTCATTGACTGATATTATACACTCATTGTCTGATGTCATGCATTCATTGTCTGATGTCATACATTCATTATCTCATCATGCACTCATTGTCTGATGTCATACACTCAATATTTTGTCATGCACTCATTGTCTGATGTTGTACACTCATTATCTCGTCATGCATTCATTGTCTGATGTCATACATTCATTATCTCATCATGCACTCATTGTCTGATGTCATACACTCAATATCTTGTCATGCACTCATTGTCTGATGTTAAATTAACCAATTATTGAGCACACTCAAACTTATTTGTTCACCAGTCCGTCACTGAAAAAGTTACAGATTTGGAATCACTTGAATTTTACATGCTTTCATGGCTAAAATCAACTTGGGTTTCTTTCAGTTCACTGAGGTTAATTCTTGGAAAAAAACATGATTCCATCCTTCTCAGCAATGACCATATAAAGTCATGCATTTGACATTACACTTAATGATAAAACCATATATGGTCAATTGCAGACAATGCAATGAATGTACAAAGCAATTCATTTCAATGTTTGTAAACCTGATAGATACATTTGCTTTATCATAACATCCTTTGCTGTTTAAAAGTTGCATGTTGCTTACAATTTTTCTTTTGGGTTTGCTTTATTTCTTTTAACCATTACTTTTAGGGGTTTGTGGCTATCTTTGTTTTCTTTAGTCGCTATGACACTGCATGATAAAAGGTATGTACACATAACAATAAATATTCTGCCGGACCTATATTTTTCAAACCCATTATGTTAAATCGATTAATTGTTGCTTTATATATGTTGTATCAATCACACAAAAAATAAGTATATAAAACCATATCAAAAAAGGTCCTTGTTAATAAAATGAACATGTTGTTTAAGTTTAAGTTGTTTAAGTTGTTTAATAGTCAGAAAGCACAAAGGCCATTATTTGAGTGACATTAGTACAAAATTAGTTTCCACAATTCCACCCTATTATGTATTTTACTCAAAAAGTAGAATATGCATTTAATGTTTCTCAAATATGCCTATATGTTGTGTTGATCACATGGCTTAGAGACAATTTGCTTACATCAACCAGAAATATTAAGGGGGCATACGCTCAAGGGGTCATCTTTTATGTATACATGCTTTCAATCACTGCAACTCTTTTCATTCACAATTTCAAAATGTTGAACATATACTTGGGTCTCTGTATTTCCTTTTTGCTAGTTACACCCCCAATCAATGCAATCCACACTCTGCACTCTCAAATCACGGTACTGTATGGTACATTAAGAGTTTATGGGAACATATGGTACCATTGGAGTATAGTGCCATACAGTGTTCACAGAACCATACGGTACCATATTTCGAGGTACTGTTCAGTACTGTATGGTACTGTTGCAGATTGGTTGTGTAGTTCGTAATTTTTGTCAGTCCAACATTTTATAATTATTATCCCATCGAACGAAGTTCGGAGGGATATAGGGAACGCCTCCGTCCGTCCGTCCGTACGTACGTCCGTCCGTCCGTCCGTCCGTCTGTCCATCCGTCCGGGCAATAACTCAAATACCGTTGGCCCGATTTTGTTCATATTTTGTACACATATACCCTATGGGAGTAGAAGTTCTGCTCGAAAGCCGATTTTCAAAATGGCCACTCATTTCAAAATGGCGGCCATTTTAGTGACGATTTTACAGTAATTTAGGTGCAATATGTAAAACTGTAATAGCAATATGTTTTAAATGTAAAAAAATTATAAAGGACATTAATAATGCTACAAATGTAGATATTAAAAAAGCACACGGCAGCCATCTTGAAAAATGGCGGTCTTTACTCGTCATTTTACGATTTTTGCTGTAACTCAAAAAATAGTAGAGCGATTTTGTTCATATTTGGTGTGTGAATACTATAAGCATTGCACACTGTCTAAAGACACTTTTGGTAGAAGGCGGCCATTTTGAAAAATGGCCGCCATTTTAACGTATTTTACTATAACTCGAAAAGTAGTGGAGCGATTTTGTTCATATTTGGTATGTGAATACTATAAGCATGGCACACTGTCCTATGACACTTTTGGTAGAAGGCGGCCATTTTGAAAACAATTTTGAAAAATGGCCGCCATTTTAACGTATTTTACTATAACTCGAAAAGTAGTGGAGCGATTTTGTTCATATTTGGTATGTGAATACTATAAGCATGGTACACCGTCTATTTCTAATGACGCTTTTGGAAGAAGGTGGCCATTTTGAAAAATGGCCGCCATTTTAACGTATTTTACTATAACTCGAAAAGTAGTGGAGCGATTTTGTTCATATTTGATATGTGAATACTTTAAGCATGGCACATTGTCTAATAAAACTTTGGGGAGTAGTCGGCCATTTTGAAAAATGGCCACCATTTTTATGTGTGTTATTTTACAAGTACGTGTGCTATTTTTTATGATATTTGTGCTTCGTTTGAAAAAATGCCAGCCATTTCTGTTCGATGGGATTCGCTACGCTTTGGCGTTGCCGTTGTTCTGGTTTCAAATTGTTTGATACACCATTGTTGTTTGCTTTTGCTTGTTAACATTGCATGGTGTCAGTGGAGTTAGGTATGGTGTTAAAGTGTATCAAAATTGGATATCTTATATTTATGTGATATATCTAACACATAGAATAGCGTTTAGCAGAATACAATCCGTGTGATTTCATACACGGTTTGTTCCGAAGTTTGCACACTTTATGTTTGTAAAATCACACTTGTACATGCGTATTTGTGTATGCATTGCTTAAAAATGACATCGAACACGGTACACAAGTCGAACAAATGCTTAAGCGGCTCGCACAAACGTTTTTCCCTTCACAAACCATGATGTGCCGATCACACACCTTGATGTACCAATCACACACCTTGATGTAACATAAATTGCTTTCTAGAGATGTTCGAGATTTTGTTCTAAATCTCGCGTTACTTTTGCACTGAACGAAATAACACATCAGCGCGGCAAAAAGATAAAAAGATCTAGTTTGTAGTTTCTCAATAAATGGCCACTGTACGTCTCCCTAGCCTAGGGCCTAGGGTATCCTATTATATATTTTTAATTTAAAATTTACATTTTATAATATTTCAACGGAGGGCACCATATTGTAGAAACCAGGATGTAAATATCACATGACTTAAATCTCGCACCCTTTGTGAAGTGCAACTTGTTTGTGACAGCCTATGCGAGCGGGAACCATCCTATGTGAGTTTGAACTACAATCCGTGTGACATTTCAACATTGCTTTTGGATTTTGGAAAGTGATTGGAGTTAGTGCTAACTCTTTGTGTGACACTTGATACAACCAGTGCGTGTGTGAATGAAAATAAGTTATGTAAGAAAATTAACAGTTGGTATAACATGGATTGAAAATGGCATACGATGATGCGAGTTTTGCATATAATGATGCGTATTTCGCATAGTATGATGCGAGTTTCGAATCATATAGTTCGAGTATCGCATCATATAATTTGATTTTTCCCATACATCATGTTATGTCCAGTTTTGATACAAAATAAATTCCATAGTTTAAGTGTCGTTAAATTTGTGGTAGATAAGCTTTAGAATTACGTTTTCTTGTAAATTTCTTTGTATAGCTGTATCTATTTTGTCTGTAATATGTATATTTATCTATTTTGTCTGTTACTGGTGATGTTGTATTCTAGTTTGTACTCCATAATTCTATGAAATATTCATGACAAATTGTATATGAAAAAATGTTTGCTTTAATAACTAAAATGATCGTGTGATATATGAAATGGCAAATGCTTCCTTGTTTGTCTTTTATCTGGCATAAGAACTAAAACTAAACTCACAATGATTTAATCTGCCAGAGACCACCAAAAGTGAACACGTCATTCAAAAACTTTTGGTACGTCAAATGGCTTTTAGACTGAACGTGATGTACTGTACAATAGAATGTGCATAATATAGTAATTATCCAACATGTGTGCATGCAATTCCCGAATTCAATGAATGTACATTCTGATTTTAGCTTTGGTAGAGTTCACCCAACCAGTGTTAGTCTCAAGAGAAGATCCTGATTCAAGAGCAAATACGGTACGAGAAATCAAGAAACGTGCACAATCGGAAGGAAAATGGCCGCAGATCATGATCTTCCCAGAAGGCACTTGTACAAACAGGACGTGTCTCATAAACTTCAAACCAGGTAAGAATAAACTTCTAAATGTCAGAAGTATTGCTTCTTTTCTGTTTTGAAAAATGAAAAAGTCTCAAAGTTATGAATTGTATATTTCAATTGAAGAAGTAAGAACTTTAAAATTTCAATCCCTAAAAGTATTAAAGAAATTTTTCATGTTTTAGGTGGTTTTTACCCTGGAGTGCCAGTTCAACCAGTGTGTATACGTTATCCAAATAAATTAGATACAATAACATGGACTTGGAAGGATCCCAGTGCACTAAAGATCATATATTTAAATATTCTATTTTCACTTTAAGGTGGTTTTTACCCTGGAGTGCCAGTTCAACCAGTGTGTATACGTTATCCAAATAAATTAGATACAATAACATGGACTTGGGAGGGTCCTAGTGCTCTAAAGATCATATATTTGACACTATGCAACTTTCACAATAGCATAGAAGTAGAGGTAAGTTATCCAATACTTTAAATTAGTTATCCCTTACCTTGAAGTAATTATTCCATACATAAAAGTAGTTGTCCTGTACTTTAATAAAGTTATTCATACTTAAAAATAAATAAGTTGACCCACACACTGATTTTAATTTACCATACTTTAAAGTAGTTATTTCATACTTTAAATAAGTTATTCCATACTTTAAAGAAGTTATTCCATACTTAAAAAAAGTTATTCCATACATTAAATAAGTTATTCCATTAACTTAATTTTGTATTTTTTCTATGATGAGTTTACGATGGCTGATAAACATATATGGCCCTTATATGAAAGCTATAGAAATATGAAATTATACAGGTGCCTTTATGAATAACTATTTGGGGTCACGCCAGATATATGTGTAAATAATATTCCTTGATCATTGTTGTAACATAGGAGTTCGTTGTCATAGTAACAGAAAAATCATCCTCCGATCACAGGGCTTCAAAAGAATATCTTCTTTCTTTTTACCCCCTGCAATAAGCAGTTAACATTTCCTCGATTAGGAACTCGCAATTTGATCATTTATACGTCATCGGCGCATAATTAGATCACGTGATTTAGTTTAATCGGGTGCTTCCAAATTGGTTATAGCAGGGAGGAAGAAGGATGTACGGACAAAGGAATTCTTGACTTCACGCTAGCTTTTGGTAATGGCCCCTGTGAATGTACATGTATTTATTTACAATTTTTTACCTTTATTTTTAGTTTCTACCAGTTTATAAGCCTAATCAAGAAGAAAGAGAAAATCCAAAACTTTTTGCAGAAAATGTCCGAGAGTTAATGTCTGAGTAAGTGAATAAATATATAAGCACTAGTGTCAAAAGGGAAAGGACTAAAAGTTGTAATGGAACTTAACAAGAAAAAGCAAACTCTAAGTGCATACCAGTTAAGAAAAACAAACCCCATATACACGCCCGGTGATCGTGAATATGGGACGGAGGGGGGAGCAGGCAATTTCTGCTAGGAAATTCAACAAATCTGGAAGATTTATTTTTTCAAGAAAAAAGTTTACTATTGAATTGCTAAATGGATAGGCGCACAGTATGGTAGAATATGTTAGGTTTTCTGGGATTTTTTCTGAAACGATACGCATCTAAGGTATGAGATCTATTAAAAAAGGCGCAAGGCCATCAACAGGCACAAATCAACGTTTTTGCTATAAATTAAGCAACGATGGTCTGGACGACCTGTAATAAATACTTGAAAGTGATGTTATCATAACTAAATTAATGCCATTGCTGAATTTATAAAATAAGTTTCCATATGTGAAATAAAAAATAATCGAAAATAATGAATTTGGGACGGAGGGGGGGAGGGGACGGAGGGGGGGGAGCAATATGTATATAAGACATGATTAGAGATGTTTCGCGACTTTAAGTCCTTTCACTCCAAATGTCCCCATTTTTCAGTCTCCAGGGGTATATCATCCAGTTTCTTACTAAGTTAATGAGTTCATTTTTCAAATACAAGAATTCGTGTGAAGTTGCTTCACTTTATAGAATTATTACTCCCCCCCCCTCCGTCCCCTCCCCCCTCCGTCCCATTTTAATTATTTTCGATTATTTTTTATTTTACGTATGGAAACTTATTTTATAAATTCAGCAATGACATTAATTTAGTTATGATAACATCACTTACAAGTATTTATTACAGGTCGTGTAGTCCATTGTTGCTTGATTTATAGCAAAAACTTTGACTTTTGCACGTTGGTTGCGTTGCGCCTTTTTTAATAGATCTTATATCTTAAAAGAGTATCGGTTGAAAAATAATCCTAGAATACCTAACATATTTTATCATACCGTGCGCTTATTCAATTTGCAATTAAATCGTAAACTCTGTCTTGAAAAAATAATTTTACCAGATTTGTTGAATTTTCTAGCGGAAATTGCCTGCTCCCCCCCTCCGTCCCATTTTCACGATCACCGGGTGTGATATAGCCCGAAACCATGATCTAACGTGAAAAGAAACAATGTCTAATACCCCCTACAATCCAAGACCAGAAGACCAAGGGACATTTCATTCATACTGAAGTCAATAAGATATTTTCCAAATCAAAAACCAAACATGAAATATTTTTTCAATCATTCTTTTAGCATCCCTTTTTAAAAAGATTAATATAATTAAATTAAGATTTCAAATCAAATTATGAATTTTGGGTGTGCTTTATTGATTTCTATGCTAATTTAGCAAAAGCATACACAAATAAGATACATTTAAAATATGTACTTCAAACATAAATACCAAACATTTGACATATGATCACACAAAAAAAGTAAATTTTTTTTAATATTAATAACTTTATTTTTCACATACAAACGACAAACATTTAAAATATTTTCACACTCAAATGCCAAACACTTGAAATATTTTCACACATTTATACCTATCATCTGTTATAATGTTCTAGGTCATTAGGAATTCCAGTGACTGATCACACATACGAAGACTGTAGGCTTATGATGTATGCAGAGCGCCACAATGTCCCAGCCGCCATGGGTCTTATAGAGTTTAGAAAAATAAGCAAGAAATTAGGGTAAGAATATTAGAGTAACTATGAGTATTAGTTTCTTTGTGTCACTACCAAAAGTGGTGACATATTGTTATAGTCTCCAACTTTTTATGGATGGTGTTTTGCAGTTGACATTTCGCAATAAGCGTTCCGACCATTCGGCATTTGGTGGTCAGTAAATTGCAGGTGGTGACACTTTGCATGTTAATTTCACAGGGTATGTACCAAATTAAGCGTGACAGTTGATTGCGCAGAGTACGGTACAACACAAGGGTGATGAAATTTGAGAAAACTGATGTTTTCATCGATTCAGAAAGGTCCGGTTGAATATCTAGATATTTTTATATGTAAATGTCTGTAACAACCTCCTAGACAGTGAACTTCACAGTGAATTTCATAGTTATTACCTACACAAACTCTGAATGTAGTTACTGTATTTCGCACGGGTTAGATACGATATAACACAATTCCTTTTGTTGTATCTGACCGTTACTGCGTGTTATACCTGTATACTTCATTTCGAGTTCATTTGAAATTTGTCTAGGATGTTATTACAGATATTTACATTTAGAAATATCTAGAAAATCTTTCTGAAATGATGAAAACACCTGTTTGCTCACGTTTCATCATCCTCGTGTTGTACCGTACCAGGCATGTTAAACTGTCACGTGTCACACTTATTTGGTATGTACCCTGTGTTTTTAGAAAAGAATTGAGAGAGGCATATGATTGCGGTTGTATTGTCAAAATACATTTCACTTTGATATACGGTGCTAACGACCGTTATTTTGAATTTCTGACTTTCTAGATGTTTAAAAATCAAGGATTGCGAGTCTCATACTGCACCGTTTTTCTTCAAACTTGTTCCATTCAGAGCATAACAAAGTTAATACCGCGTAATACTCATTTTTACATCTTATGGCAGGCTACAATACTGCCAGATGTTATCTCAAGTCAGCTGTGCATGATGGATTTTCATGAAAACTTAAACATTTCTCTTCTCAATAGTACCATTAAGTAGCATTGCTTTCCCCACATTGAAATCTCTCGGTGCAACACCCTCATGTATTTCATAAAACCAAAATGTTCCTGGATTCAATTTGATGTCCCTCCTAAAATGTTACGACGAAAAAAGTGAAATCCTATAATTAAATATTGGGCCAAAAAAAATAAATTGAAAATGTTTCACAAAACTTTCAAAATTCTTAATGTACTGAAAAAATATCAAAAAAATAAGTAGTTTGGACAGATTGGACTTTTCTGTGATTTTACTGAGCCAACCTTTCTACGATTTACCGATTGTACTTTTCTGATTTCAGATTGGACTTTGACAATCTCAAAGAACTTTTGAATCAGTTCATCAGCATATGTAAAAACAAGGAACACATCACAAAGGAGGAGTTTGCAGAGTATCTTGGAGTGCCTATCTCTGATACACTTACACAAATGTTTGATATGTACGATAGGGTAAGTCCTTTTTTCAAGATTAAGATTTAGGGTAAGTCCTCTTTTCAACATTAAATTTGTTATTGTGGATTAACCTCTTGAGATCCAGAGATTCTGAGATTCATTTGAAACCAGAGAATTTTTCATTTTTGCCAGCTTTTGACACTTTACTACATATACAACATACATATAAGCAGATGACGCTCAATTTAGTAAAATTAGTCGGAAGAGATCATTTCTACTCATTTTGTAACACATTTTGTGTAAATTGGTTGAAAATTGTTCAAATTAGAGCACAATCTTGTCACTATGGGCTTCAAGGTTATTTCTAAGGTAACAAATCTCGTTATCCTGTGAAGTCAAGAGTTTAAGTACTGTTCATAAACTGAGATGTTTAATATTTTATGATGATAATGTTACAACTACCAGTTATAATTGGAGTAATCTCTAAAACTTGAACCACATGATTAGAATGTTACTATAAACTGAATACATAAGTACAACATGACTATAATATAATTTTATCATTTTCGTAAAGCATTTCTAATGTATTTTACAGCTCATGGTTAATTCCTTTTCTTATGTGAAGATGATTCAGTTTATATTGCAGTCTTTCAAACTTTACATGGGACCTTTAAAGGCATAAATTCATTCACTGATAAAGAAGCAATTTTGAAACATTTTAGATTTTGATTCACTAACAATTTTTGAGCTTTTAGATCCATTTGTAATGGTGTGGGTGAGTTGCATGTAGAACTCAATGTTCATCATCATCAAATGATAATAATTTTACATGAAGCCATTTTCACAGTGAGGCATCATCATCACTCCCTGCATGTGATACAGATGGAGTCTGATCATTTTTTCCAAAATTAAAACTGAAATTAATTGATTTAATATGTCCGTCTTCTCCGTCTTCTTTCTTTGCATCTGGGTCCAGTTTTGGTGAGAGATCATCATCATTCTCTGTATGTAGTTCTTTCGCCTTGCTCTCAACATCTTTTCCAAATTCCAAATTGAAATTTTTTGGTTGGATTTGTCCATCTTCTTTCTGAACAGTAGGATCACACTTTGGTGAGAGATTACCATCACTCTCTGCCTTTGATACATTTGCCTTGGTCTCGTTTACTTTTCCAAAATTAAAATTGAAATATGGAGATTGGATTTGTCCATCTTCTTTCTGAACAGTAGGATCACACTTTGGTGAGAGATTACCATCACTCTCTGCCTTTGATACATTTGCCTTGGTCTCGTTTACTTTTCCAAAATTAAAATTGAAATATGGGGATTGGATTTGTCCATCTTCTTTCTGAACAGTAGGATCATGCTTTGGTGAGAGATCACCATCACCCTCTGCCTTTGACACATTTGCCTTGGTCTCATTTACTTTTCCAAAATTAAAATTGAAATATGGGGATTGGATTTGTCCATCTTCTTTCTGAACAGTAGGATCATCACTCTCTGCATCTGATTCTTTTGTTTTGCTCTTATCAGTTTTTCCAAAAGCAAAACTGAAATTATGGGATTTATTATGTCTGTCCTCTTTCTTAACAGTAGGGTCCAGCTTTGGTGAGAGATCATTATCACTCTCTGCATCTGATTCTTTTGTTTTGCTCATATCAATTTTTCCATAATCAAAACTGAAAATTGGATGTGGTTTGTGATCTTTCTTTTGTTGAACCTTTCCAATCCGTAATTTGTCATTTCGATGCTTCTTTTTTCTATCTTGGTTCTTACTAGTAAAGTCAAATAGTGGTGCTGGACCATCAGTTCTTGTTGCTTCTTGAACTTCTTTCTTTTCTATAGCAGCGGTTCCAAATTCAATCCCGTCTTCATCACTTTTGCCTTCTATTACTTGGAAGTGAATCTTATCTTTGAAAGTTGCATTCGGTTCTTTTGACCACTCCTCAGACTTCTGGTTGACCTGGTCGCCAAGATCAGCTATTTCTACTGGATGACCATGGTCCACCATAGTTCGGTATTTCCCAATTTGACTCTCAATGATGGCCTTCTGTAGCTCCAAATGACCAAGGTGGGATATGATCTGTTTGACGTTTAAGTCCTTTTCTTGTTGAATTGTTTGAATAGCTTGCTTCAAATTGTCCATATCCTTGTTCAACTCAGCTGTAATGCTCTCAGCGTTTTCCAACATATGGTTCTTATATCTCAGAGTATCTTGGATCCCCTCCTCAATCATACGAATCATACCATCACCCTGTGTTATAATTGCACCTATGGGTTTCATGTTTTTTGCCGCAATTTCACTAATAGCATCACAAGTATGACCAGCGTGATTGGCAGAATAGCACAGATGGCAGATAACAGTCTTATCATCCTTACAATAGAGCTCTACTTGTTTTTTGGGGTGTACTTTGCAATATATGATGCGTTCCTTTACTGACTTAAGTGCAGTTTCCAGATCTTGTTCACTATTTCCTGTGAGCTCGAGTAGTGTGTGACCTTTCAATAGGATGTCATGTGTCTTTTGACAAATATCACACAACTTCTTGTTGCACTCCAAGCAATGGGTTATGGGCGTGGTCTGTTTGCCGTGTGCTTCCCTGCATGATTCACATTCTGACTTTTGGTTCAGCTTACTGTTCTTAAAGGCATCAACTAAGAATGAAATTGTAGGGCTCACCTTGAACATGTCCACACCTTCCTCAGGCACAATGCATTCTTGGCGACATTCTGGGCAGTTCATTCTTCCTCCTTCGAGTTTGCTTTTTTCTATCAGACTTGCCAAACACTTTAAGCAATATGCGTGCATACATGGCAATGTCCTTGGCTCTGCAAAAGTGTCCTGGCATATTCCACAAGTTAGCGCAGATCTTAAATGATTTTCCACATTTGACGCCATTTCCCTATCATTAACATATGATCTTGTGACAAAACTATGTTCAAGTCCTAAACACAATGGTACACGTATTGTTCCGATCAAGTTAATAATTAGCCAACTAAGGGTAAATTTAGTAAATATTTAAATCCATTCATCGACAATAAACGCTAATGTACTTAAATGTGTCTCTAATAACCCATATTTGAGGATGTATGTTTTATGATAACCAGTTCTCAGAACTCATTTGTATATTGAATAGTCATGTTCAAGGTCATTGTGACTTTTTTATGAAAGGTTTATAATCGAAACATATAACTATAAATATAAGATCATCGCTCCTAGTTAAATACTGCCATCTTTCAATGAACAACATGTTCAATTTGTATTTTTGTACTATGAAATACTGCCATCTTTAAAGAGAGTTCAATTTCATTGACATATTGCTTTACAAAGTCATCTCCCCCGACAGTCATCCAATAACCTATAATAAGGGAAAATATTTGTGAAAACAATCAATATAATCTAACATGATTTATTGAATGAGGTACTCATGAAATCCTAATGTTAAATACGGTACTGTGTTCAAGTTGTCACTAGTTCAATACTTATGGTTGATTTTGTGTGTGATTTTTTTATTTCTAGGATAGGTCAGTGGCAATTGACTTTAGGGAGTATGTGAGTGATAGGAGTCAACTTATTTTTGGCTAATTTTGTGATTGATTTTTTTTTTCCAGGATAGGTCAGTGGCAATTGACTTTTAGGGAATACGAGTATGTGATTGGACTCAATTTATTTTAGGCTAACTTTGTGAGTGATTTCTTATTTTCTAGGATATGTCAGGAACAATTGACTTTAGGGAATATGTGATTAGACTCGACTTACTCATGGCTAATTTTGTGAGTTATTTCTTATTTTAGGATAGGTCAGGAACAATTGACTTTAGGGAATATGTGATAGGACTTTCTTTGATCTCACAACCTGCTAACACAGATGAAACTTTGCAGTTGGCTTTCAAGGTAACATACACAAGGCCTTTTTCTATTTTTATGAGGGACATACCTGTATGTCGAAACACCTCTTACCTGTACACCTCTTATATTAAACTTAATTAATAAAGCCAATAATACATTGCCTCGGCCCTAGCTGTGTATGTTAAACATGTTTTGATTATTTTGATAATAAAAACATTTAAACCTTAAACCTAAACCTGATCACCTCTCAATGCGAATGCTTTTTTGGTTCCATTATTTTAACTTACCATGGACATGCATGTTTCAAAACCTTGTAATGTGAACGCTAATCCATTCAGATTAGACAGACTTTATTTAATCCCCAAAACATTGGACAAATTGTGCTTAAGCACTTCTCTCGTAACATAACTAACTTTGTTATTCTGCACCTGTTGAAAACTGAACACCATCCCTAAATAAAACCAAAAACGAACAAAAAAATCTCATCAATTCTTTTTTATTTTTTTTTATTTCAGCTATTTGATAGCAATAACAAAGGGTATATCACGGAGGAGGAACTCAATGATATTTTGTACAATGCTTTTGAGATGGATAACATCGACTCAGCCAACCTCTTCACGCAGGTTGACAGTGACAAAGATGGGAAAATTACTTATGGTGAGTCCCTTTAAACAAGGATTGAAAAGTTCTTATAATAACGTATAATCTGTAAAATGAAGCCCTCTGATTGGTCAGTTCTTGTGCTGTATCAATCTGTATTACATACCTAGCGAAGCATTTGTATGGAAGTCAATGGGAAAGTTAGCGAGCTATATCCACCGATATTGCCCGATTACCCCGATATAGCCCGCTTACCTCGTTTTGATATTAGATTTCTTTAATAACCATGATAATATCATGACGTCACGTCATTGATACAAAGTAACCATGGGAACAAAGGCATGTAATACATCAGTTATGTCACTATGACGTGAAATATGCCTTCGTTCTTGCCCAAATATAGAGCCTCCCAAGGTCGGCCTATATTGGGAGAACTCAGGCATATTTCACGTCATAGTGACATAACCTCTAAGTATTGCTACTGAGATTGTCCCCATTGATCATCTCCATCGCAATACAGAAAATATTGGTACGGAGGGGACAATCTCAGTAGCAATATCAGTTATTACACGTTTCAGCATGTGATACGGGAAATATTCCACGAAAGTAAAAATTGTATAACCACGAATAAGCAGCTTGAGTGGTGATACTTTTTACTGAGTGGAATATTTCCCGTATCACATACGCTGAAACGTGTGATAACGATTTTATCACATACTATGTAGAAATTTAGTGATTTGATTGGTAGCTTTCTTTGTCGTTCTAGTTCCTCAAATGACGAATTCATCATTTCTAAGAAATAGTAAAATAGCCTATATGTGACGTCATTTTGAATTAGGAAAGAATAGAATGAAGTTGTATGACGTCATTTCGTTACCATAGACAACGTGTGGTATGTGTGCTCGTATCATATGAAATTTATGTGATACAGGAAATACGTCATAGAAAGCAACCAATCAAATCACTAGATTTATACATAGTATGTGATAATACAGAGGATCACACGATAAAAACGTTATTGAATGATTTGAAGTGCAATATAGGATATATTCTGTCTCGATATTCTGTATTGGCACTCTACTTCGTCTCTTTCTAATATGGAATTTCTCGGACTGAATATATCCTGTATTGCACTTCAAGTCATTCAATAACTGATAATATCGCATAGGGTGTCATGGAGTGTAGACTTGTCAGCTTCAGCTTTAGAAGGATTCACATTTTGGCAGAAATGAAATCAGCCACTTTGAACAGGAGGTGTGAGTTTGTTTCTAAAGATAGATTAGGGTCTCCATAGTAAAATAAAGAAAGCTTGATTTTTATGTTTATTAATGACAATTTTATGGTCAACCCTTGTATGTGTTACAAGTTGTGGACAGTACGCGTCCCTTTAAATGTATCATCATTTATTGCGAGTCCCTTTAAATGTATCATCATTTATTGTGAGTCTTTTTAAATATATCATCATTTATTGTGAGTCCCTTTAAATGTATCATCATTTATTGTGAGTCCCTTTAAATGTATCATCATTTATTGTGAGTCCCTTTAAATGTATCATCATTTATTGCGAGTCCCTTTAAATGTATCATCATTTATTGTGAGTCTTTTTAAATGTATAATCATTTATTGTGAGTCCCTTTAAATGTATCATCATTTATTGTGAGTCCCTTTAAATGTATCATCATTTATTGTTAGTCCCTTTAAATGTATCATCATTTATTGTGAGTCCCTTTAAATGTATCATCATTTATTGTGAGTCCCTTTAAATGTATCATCATTTATTGTGAGTCCCTTTAAATTTATCATCATTTATTGTGAGTCTTTTTAAATGTATCATCATTTATTGTGAGTCCCTTTAAATGTATCATCATTTATTGCGAGTCCCTTTAAATGTATCATTATTTATTGTGAGTCCCTTTAAATGTATCATCATTTATTGTTAGTCCCTTTAAATGTTTCATCATTTATTGTGAGTCCCTTTAAATGTTTCATCATTTATTGTGAGTCCCTTTAAATGTATCATCATTTATTGTTAGTCCCTTTAAATGTTTCATCATTTATTGTGAGTCTCTTTAAATGTATCATCATTTATTACGAGTCTCTTTAAATGTATCATCATTTATTGTGAGTCCCTTTAAATGTATCATAATTTATTGTGAGTCTCTTTAAATGTATCATCATTTATTGTGAGTCTCTTTAAATGTATCATCATATATTGTGAGTCTCTTTAAATGTATCATCATTTATTGTGAGTCCCTTTAAATGTATCATAATTTATTACGAGTCTCTTTAAATGTATCATCATTTATTGTGAGTCCCTTTAAATGTATCATAATTTATTGTGAGTCTCTTTAAATGTATCATCATTTATTGTGAGTCTCTTTAAATGTATCATCATATATTGTGAGTCTCTTTAAATGTATCATTATTTATTGTGAGTCCCTTTAAATGTGTCATTATTTATGGTTCATAACTTGAAAGGTGTCATCATTGTAACTGTAACTAGTAACCGTTAAGGTCTCAAACTTTTGCATAATATCTACCTATCAATCATTTTAATGGCTACCACTTAAGTTGCAGACATAAAACATTTACCCATAAGTCTTAAGGAATTTGAAAATTTTGAAAAGGTGAAAATGCAAGATCATGTACCCATGATACATATTACAAAACATATTGTTATGGTTTCCATCTTTTTCCGGATGGATTAATTCGATACTGAGCGGTTGATGTTTAGTGTTCTGTGACTGTAACAAATGGAGGGTAGTGACATTTTGCATGTTAATGCTTATTTATATAATATATTAATCAAATTATTTGATATGAATATACCTATAAATCAGATAATTATTTTCAGATGAATTTTACCATTTCGCAAAAGAGAAGCCAGAATATGCTGCCCTCTTTATGACATTCCGTCAACTACAACAACGTGCGGTTGCCGAAGATCCAGACGTCATCAATGGAAAAATTTCAAATGGTTCATCAAAAAATGGGACTAAATTGAAGGACGAATGACAGGGTGCGACTCAGAATTCCTCAACACAAAATCAAACCGCAATGAAAGAAGTAGAAATTGTAGATGTATGAATGTATTGTTTCAAAGAAAAATATTTCAACCACGATAGAACATAAAAAGAAGTAAAGTGGAACACCTCTGGAAAGGAACACATCGAAGTTCTTTTACCTATTAACTTTAATGTTAAAGGAGAACCCTCAGCAGGTAGAACATGCTGACATGTATAGCACTATTTTGAGATACCAAATGTGTTTTACTATACATCACTGTTATGTATGTTTTACTATACATCACTGTTATGTATGCATTTACAATTGAGAAAAAATTGCATCGATTCATTTTGAATTAATGTTATTTGTTGATGATATATATTTTTAATGGCAGTCAATTATATTTAGATATTTGTTGTATGTATCTAGTGTCAAATATCATTTTGACAGTGTCAAATATCATTGTCACATATGTCAAATATCATTGTCACATATGTCAAATATCATTGTGTCCCTAGTGTCAAATATCATTGTGTCCCTAGTGTCAAATATCATTAGGACTCTTATATACCATGTCATTGTGGTCATAATTTTTTAGATTTAGAATGGAGATGGGTTGCAAAGGGGCTACATGTACATATGTTGCCCATTGTGATGTTAAGTAAATTGTTTACTGACATTGGACATTTTCATTTTGGCATCTTAGGCTTACTTGAAAGGGTATTACGTTCGATTTAGCTGTACACACCGAGCATAATTTGATTTAACTACAAATTACTTTGAATTATTAGTTTGAGGTATATTCCACATTGTTTAAGTAACAAAAATTTGGGGTCCGCAAAGGTTTAAATGGAAGTGAAAATATCACTCTAGGATAACAATATCATTTTTGGACAACAATGTTTTGAATCACATATATACATTTACAATTATACATATTTATACAAATTTGCCAAAATGCTGATGTACTTCTTTAGACACTTTATATACAAGTATTTTAACATTGATATTTGTAATATTGTTAAGGATTTATGAAAGTATTAATTATACAGAGAGAAAATATTCATGATATACTTGGAAAGTATTAGGTATTTACTTAGTGAGAAAGTATTTATTGTAAAGTTTTAAAGTATTCATAAAGTGAAAAAGTATTCATTCTTTGTTAAGAAATAATTCGTTGTGGAGTTTTAAATTAATCATTTTATACCAGTAAGAGAATATTCATTATATACAAGCTGTAGTTGGAAAGTATTCATTATTTGTTGAGAAAGTATTCATTGTAAAGTTTTAAAGTATTCATTATATACCAGTGAGAGAATATTCATTATACATGTAAAGTGAAAAAATATTCATTATTTGTTGAAAAAAATTCATTGTAAAGTTTTTAAGTAATCATTTTAGAGTGAAAAAGTATTTATTATATAGGGAGAAAGTATTTACTATTTATACACTTCAACGGTCAAGAAAAATATACTCATCCATTCTTTAACTAGTTTCAGAGATCTGAACCATTGATATTAATAAATGTTGTTACAGATGTTACAGGTGTTACAGATGTTACAGGACAAATAAGTATGAAGGTTTAAGTATTAAAGAGGTCAAAATATTGATGTAGTACACAGAATATGTGACATTATGACGCCCAAGGATTATTTTCTCTCAATTATTTTATAAGTGGTCCTAATTACAGCTGTTTCCCATATATGCACAAAAAGCACATGTCGTGACAAAAATTTAGTCTGCACATCTTCCAATCACAGGGTGCCGAGAATGAGTAACGAGTTCTTTAGCCCTGTGACGGAGATTGATATTGCAACTAAATTCTGCATATGTTTAGGTTAGACTAAATGTTAGAGTATGCGCTAGTAGGTATATATGAATATTATTTAACCTTATTCTAGTCTGCCTATTTATAGTATTATACAATATTCAAATTATGTGGTCATATATAGGTCAAGGTCACAAGTATAATCAAAATGGCTTATGTAGATGTTATGTGCAAGGGCCGATCAAAAAGTTTCTTACCGTTGGCTCTCAATTTTCTAATAAGAGGAGTTGGAAGCTCAAACTTTAATATGAGACAGGATAGTTAGTTTGCTTGAAACTGTAAGAGTTTCATATAAATTGATTTATTGGTAGTGACACAGAGTCAATTCAGATTTTCAATGACAAAGTTAGGTGGAGCAGCGTTATATATAAAATATCTGCTGAGTTGTGGTTTTGGAAATTAAACGATATCGTTTCACACCTCTCATACGAAGGCCTTAAACATGTGTTTTTGGATCGAGTGGACAGATATATATATATAACTTTTATTGACATATTGTATCATAACATGATTACATTAGTCAAAAGGAAGTGTCTTTTTTAATCATAATAAAGGAAGTGCATTGCAACTTCGGTTGAATATTTTGAATGAGAATGAATATAAGCAGAAAAACTAATTAAACATGATTAAATTACAGTCTGTTGACAGAAGACACTACTTAGTGTTAGAAATTCCCCAAACTGCAGCTTAGCACAATTTTTTATAAAAAAAACGCTGCTCCACCTAAATCAATCATTGAAAATATGTATTGACTCTGTGTCACTACCAATGAACCAATTTAAATGAAACTCAGACAGTCTCAAGCAAACTTACTACCCTGTCTCATGTAAAAGTTTGAGCATCCAACTCCTCTTATTATAAAATCTAGAGCTAACGGTAAGAAACTTTTTGATCGGCCCTTGTATATTTCATGTTTGAACGCTTTGCCTTGGTCATATGTTTTTCTACATTTAGAAATAACGCTTATGTGACGCTGGTATATACACAGTGATACAATGTTGTATTAAAAATTGTATACTCCCTGCCAAAAATATATAGACCAAAGAGCAAGTATTATATTGTCTAATAAATACTGCGGGGCTACGCACAAACTTTTTCTGTGCCCCAAATGACCGAAGGGAGTGAGGGTTTGAAAAGCTTTTGTGTGAGGTCTCTATTATTAAGATTCAAACATAAAAACTCACCAAAATTTTGCAAAATTGTAACTATTTCGTCACAATTTCCTACTTCTGATTCACTGAACGAAACACTTAGAACAGACCAGGTATTGTATCAATGAATAAATAATAGTTGAAATATTGACTTTGTTCACAGTTTATAGAAGACGTGAATACAGTCTTGTTCGAATGTACGTATATTATGATATGCTTCTATCAAATTATGGATGCCAAAGCATCTTTACATGTGGATATTAAATAAAACTGGAGGTGTGTTGAGAAATTCCGAGTCAAGAGAAATGTTTATGTTGATTAATTTTAGCTGGTTAATCAATCAATCCACAGTTTGATTAATTAATTAATCAAATAAAAGAAATTATGCTTGTTTAATTTGTCTTCCATTTTATTACAATTCTAGTCTTGTACTCAATGTTAGTCCAGGGTAATAATGATTATTATTATATCGCTATACAAGCTTGCTACTTGTGATTGGCCAAATCCAGGTCACATGACATGAAGTATTTGTATATTATCACTTGTTGATGTTTATCAAACTAATAGCACAGTTTACGTGTATGAGTTTTTTCTATGATTTGGCCTTAACTTATAATTGGCATTAGTTGAGAATACTCACTTTGAGTAAATTAAATGCACATGTTGAGTAAATGAAATGCTCAAAATGTACATGTTGAGTAAATGGAATGCATGGGTTGAGTAAATGAAACGCACCAAATGTACATGTTTAGTGAATGAAATGCACATGTTGAGTATTGAAATGCACAAAATGTACATGTTGAGTAAATGAAATGCACAAAATGTACATATTGAGTAAATGAAATGCACAAAATGTACATGTTGAGTAAATGAAATGCACATGTTGAGTAAATGAAATATGCAAAATGTACATATTGAGTAAATGGAATGCACAAAATGTACATATTGAGTAAATGAAGTGCGCAAAATGTACATGTTGAGTAAATGAAATGCACATGTTGAGTAAATGAAATGTGCAAAATGTACATATTGAGTAAATGGAATGCACAAAATGTACATGTTGAGTAAATGAAATGTACAAAATATACATATTGTGTAGATGAGATGCACATGTTGAGTAAATGAAATGTACATGTTGAGTAAATGAAATGCACAAAATGTACACATTGAGTAAATGAAATGCACAAAATGTACATGTTGAGTAAATGAAATGCACAAAATATACATATTGAGTAAATGAGATGCACATGTTGAGTTAATGAAACACACATTTGAGTTAAGTTTATTTGCTATTTGTTTCGAGTGTATTTTATAGTGTAAATACTAGTGTAACTGTAAAATATAAGTGTATGTATATACATATACCTGTTATAATGTGTAACTGTACATATATGTAAGTGTACTCAATGTAAGTGTACTCAATGTAAATGTTGTATTTATTCAATAATTGGCCTTCTAACAAGGCAATGCTTATTTCAGTATTTCTGTATCATATTTTACCATTTCATAAATAAGTAAAATTGTAACTGTGGCCATGTAAAGTGTATACAGGGTCTTTTAGACTTTTAGTGAAGTATTCTTTCAGTCACAATTAAGGAAGAAAGACTGAGATTCTATGATTCTGGGTGCAATATGTGACATAAGATTTTTCCAGATTGTCGTTAAAATACCAAAATCACAAAGAGATGAGAGAAATGGCCAGAATGAAATCTGAGGCCACATATTTGCCATAAATCATAAAGGCTAATAAAGTTCTTTGAAACGATTCTCATTTGATTAACGCACCAGAAACTACATTGTAATTGTGACATCACATATCATATTAGAATCATTAATACAACTAGAGTGTAAAAATGGATTATTGTATGGTAGGTGAATTCTAACAGAACAATTCCCCTGGTGAAAGATAAACAATTCCCCTGGTGAAAGATAAACAATTCCCCTGGTGAAAGATAAACAATTCCCCTGGTGAAAGATAAACAATTCCCCTTGTGAAAGATAAACAATTCCCCTGGTGAAACATGAACAATACCCAAGGACAAACATAAACAATACCGCAGGCCAAACATAAATCATACCCAAGGCCAAACATAAGACAAATGTTTTCGTGTACTATTATTTTGTACATATTTGAAAGAACTTAATAAATACGAAAAATGTATATGTCTGTGTTGATAATATTGACGATATGTTTTAAAACAACGAGTGTAACGCGTAAAACATGTTTAAATCGTTTCCCTAATCCTGCTCACCAAGTTTTCAATTGTTTTCAAGATTCACTTACTAAAACATGTGGAACGCCTTGAGCCAAACTGAGAAAGAAATGTTTTAAAATGTCACTACATTAGGCCTGGACTGCGCAATTTAAAAAACCTAAACGTATGTTAAACGTATTTGGTCTGCATTATAGGCATATAAAGTGTTTTGTTTCCATCCATAGCTGTTCATGTTTATTTAATTATTTCTCCGAGTTTTCCTTGTGAGATTTTATCTGCAACCAGGAGGTTTGTCAGAAAACAAGATGGCGACTCCATCTGACAACACGCACCGATGCCATGGCGACTGCGGTAAAAGTTGTCCTTGCTTCGGTTAAGAAAAGAATTTGACAGATCAAAATTGGTCAGTTGAGTATGTTCTATAGCACCATCTTCAATAGCTTTGAAGTACGCACAAAGTTCATTTACATCTAAATCGGGAATGCTCTCTGTTGTTGAGGCATTGATTAAAATTTCGCGTTCGTTTTTTTCATGCGTAATCCGGGGTACTTCATAAACCCTGCCATTTATTTTGATACTGTAATTTTGCGACTTTTCAATTGATTGGAAATCTTTAATAATCCGCCTGTAAGAATCTGTCGCTGTCATATCGGTTGCGTTGCTCGAGGCATCCAGCGTCATTCCCCGTTGAGGAAAACTCATTCTTATCCCTGATGAAAACTCCTGATTGTTTAGTCCTAATTGCTTATGGGTACCATTTGGATGTTCAATCGTTATTGAGGACGCATTTGAAGCTTGATCCTCCATTGTCTTCATCCTATTTAGTGCTCCATCTACACTTTCCGATTCTACCAAATCCGAAAAGGGGACATCATCGCCATTGACCAACATCCCAAGAAGCATTTTGAACTTGATATTCAATGTCCTTGTTTCGGCTTTAGTTTTCCGCGTAGTCAACGCATCCAAGTTATCATCCATCAGGCGACATTTTACATAGAGAAGACGCCTCGAGACAGCCTCCAGGTATTTTCGAGTTAGTTGTACATCTCGTTGCTTCTCGAGACTTCGTTTTGTTAATTTAAAACTTGTTTTAAAGTTATCAATAAATCTCTCGTACTCATTCCGCGTAAGGTATTTCCCCAGAGTGCCCAGTTTGGACTGAAGGATTCTATACTGATCGTCAGATTCCATATTGTAAAACGGATCGGAATGTGCAGGTCGGGTCGGGGCATTAGCCGACAATGTTGCTGCACCCGTGTCGCTTATTGCGTGATCGGGTTTATCCACCGATCCTTGTCCCCTCGCCACCGTAGCACTACCTGTAAAATCACAAATCAAACACTATTACTGTAGTATGTATTCATAATCTGTGTTTCTCCATTTAACAAAATCGTAGAAGTATGAATGAAAACAATTAAATCCCCGAATTTGGATCATGCGCCTAAAAAACAATTTGTAACTTCTTTTGCATACATAGGGGAAAATGGATGCAACCTAGATAAAAGATGTGCATTACGCACGGACAAAATAGAAAATGAATGGATTCATATAAAAATAATCAAATCCCCATAAATCATACGAACCTCTTCTCTTTTTCAGTTGGGGGACGCAGGTCCTTTCTTGTAGTGCTCGCCGCGCTCGCTGGAAATACTTCGACTTTTCTCTTTCTGTAAGCTGCTGCCATCTATCCTGTAGTATCTTTTCAACTTTACCGTGACTCGCTTCGCAATTACTAAGGACAACGCTTCGCCTATTCTCACTGGTAAATATTGATAATGAGACAAACTATGACATTGACATAGTATGCTTATTTCCATTTCAATGAGATTTGTACTAATTCTTAGTAAAATCATATGATAGACCGTAGCCAGGGGGGGGGGGGTCGATGGACCCCCCTTGGCCAAAAAATCTTTCAAAATCATGCAGTTTTTCACCATTGGCCATTTTTGGACCAAAATTGTCACTAGTGAACTACCCCCTGGAATTTTTCAAAAAGTGAACCCCCTTGGCAAATCCTGGCTACGGGCCTGTCATCTTTGATAATTTTTCAACTAAAAAGCTATGTACCGAGGGTACATGGATTATATATTTAGCTATTATGATTTAGAAAGACCAAATAACTGTATCTTCAAAGAGTCCATTGCATTTTCTGATCTTTGAAAAATGATTGAAGTTTAGCGTATTTTGCATTTCATGAAATAGACATGCTATTTCATTTGATGAGAAATAAAAATATTTGAATTGCAAAACATAATGACAACGTTAAAAGTCAAAACGTAGTCGTTAGATGAACACGAGTATTGATATATAGATCTAAATCGATCGAGAGATGCATTACATACCTAGCCCAGAGTAAGCATGCGTGACTATCAAGTTTATGATGAGCCAACTTTTCTCTATCATCAGCAGACACTTTCCGTTTCCTCGTGTCTTTGGCACTTCCAGAGGCAGATTCAGCAGTTGGACCATTCGGTGTTTTATTTATTTCAGTCTTAATATCTTTCGATTGTTCTTCGAGAAGTTTGTCGTCATTACACCTACAGCTACTCTCGTCCATTACCGGAGCAACCTTGACTACTTCACCAGATTTCTCTTCTTCCATTGTTTCATCATGTGTTACTTTGTCTTGAGGCACGTGATTGTAGTTATCACTAGATCTGATTTTGACGTCTTCGCAACTTGTAGCTGATTCTCCAGGAGTAACGAAATGAGTTTTCTTAGGCATATCTTCAGATTTTAGGGCCTCTTTATCGTCTACTTCGTGTACTGCTTTCTCGATTTTAGATTTTATATCTACTTTACTATAATCTTTATTTTCACAAACTTTCTTTGGCGTCTCACTGACGTTCTCATCACATTCAAACGCTTCCGATTGCTCGTTCAATATCTGTGTCTCATGTGTTGTAGCATTTTCTTGCTTGTTATCTTCGGGCAGACATGTATCCATAATCTTTTCTGGTCCATTTTCCGTGCTATTTAGACTGATCGTTTCATTTTCTTTAGCTCTCTCCTTCTGTTCGTCGGTATCTGCATTAGTTTTCATCCGAACTAAATCGGGAGAGTGTCTCCTATCTGCATTTTCATTCTCTATGTCAGTTGTTGTATTATCTGGAACGCTATCTTCACTTACTTCTTCGTCGATTTGTCTTACGACTTTTTGGGTTTGCTGCGTTGCCGTCTGTTCTTTGAACACGCGCTGTGTGTCTTTTGAAACCTCAGTTTTTTGTTTAATTTCAGGAGATCTTGATTCGTTTATATTTGTAGATATTTTCTCTCCATTTAACGCAGTTTCAGTGTTGATTTTGAACTCGGCTTCACCATGAGAATTAAATGCTGAACCAGAGCATCGTCCGTTTAATACATGTGTGGTTTTATTCTTAAGACCATTTCCTCCACTAAGTGCATTGGCAATATGATCCATATTCGCCTCCATTTCACGTGTATCGGTAATTTTTACTACACGAGTATTTTGGGAATTTAGATTATTTTGAGCGTCTTCATCTGTAGCTACATTTACGCGAATTTGGTTCGATGTTTCTGTATCGATATCAACTTTTGAGTTCAGTTTGTTTTGAATTTCTATGTTATGTTTTGTCGTATCTTCTTGTGTCGTCTCTTCAATATCGCCGTCTCCTGTATTTTCTTCAATTGCTTTCTTGTTATCTGCGTTTACACCTGCCTCGATTTTCTTTGCCTCCGTTCCAATTTCATTCGTTTGGCCATTGTGTGATCTAGCGCTGTCTTCATTTCGCCAAGCAGTTTTTTCATCCTGTGGAATATTAGGCGTAAAAGCCCCTCCTACTGGACCGGTAGATACATTATTAATATCATCACTCTCACACCTTGTACATGTTGGATCGTTATGATCTACCGCATCAATTGAAATATCTTTAGGATCCAGTGTATCATTATTTGCGCTTCGTTCATCGTTATTCCCATTACCTTTTGGTGTTCGTTTGAACCTCGTGTAATTGTCGATCCCGTCCCAAAGTTCATTCTGGTTTATCTCACTTCGGAGTTTCTTTCTTCGAATCGGTCCAGCGGCCTCATTGGGTTTGGAGGGCATGGTGGGATCAGATGTGGAGTTATTCGTTGTCTCTGGTTTAATGTCGTTCTTGTTGTTCTTATTGTTCTTATGGTAGTTGTGATCGTTCACAGCAACAGTAGTGTCATCAGCATTTACAATAAGATTTGAATTTAAAGGATTTGTTAATTCCCGTGGTTCTGGTTTTATGACATCTGAATTTGATTCATTTACTTCATTATTTAACGATAACATAGAAATGTTGTCATTTTCTCTTGCACTCACTTTGTTTTCTTCTTTGCTTTCACTTGTCACCCCTTCCTTACTTGTTGTATCGTCATGTTGATTTAACCTATAGGGTATATCTCTTCCAGAACGCGTCCTGCTTCTCATAGGCTTGAAGCGATCTTCGCTTTGTCTTTTGTTATGCTTCGATAGCTGCACCCAACCTCGAGTCCTGGGACTAGAACAACAATTGGACTGATTGGGACTGGATTCTCGGCTATTCTTAACGCCTTTCTCCCTCGTTTGTTTTAAACGTGTCTCCATGTCAGCTTTTCCAGTTCTGTATTATTCAGTAAGAGTGGTCGATTCAAAATTGAAATGACGAATAACTATTTAGTAACTTGGGTACTGTTGATTTCAGTTGTGACATAAGAACAATTATAGTAAATGTTGTTGGTAACTATTGCCATGGAAACACATGTTACCAAGGAAACACGTGTCACGTAATAAATTCATTGTGCACAGTGTATGTCGTCAGGTGTGTAAAATGTTGATTCAGAAAATCATGACGCATGCGTTCATCCTAGCGTAATATTACACTGACCAGGAAACACAAATGTAGGTGAAAAGTGAGAAGTACAAAGTCTTAACACACAGCCTATGTAGTAAAGAGCTCAACATAGTACTATACTCAACATAATACTATACTCAACAAAGTACTATACTCAACATAGTACTATACTCAACATAGTACTAATCTCAACATAGTACTAAACTCAACATAGTACTAAACTCAACATAGTACTATATTCAACATAGTACTATACTCAACATAGTACTAATCTCAACATAGTACTAAACTCGACATAGTACTATACTCAACATAGTACCAAACGCTTCGCACAAGCGCTAAACACTGTACCAAAATGCTAACAATGCCAAACTTGCCAAACTTTCTCACTTCAAATCTCATCAAAAACTAAAGACGCGTTTCCTTCACAAAGTATGGTCCTTTTTTCGATTTAACGTTTACCTTTTTAGGAAATTAAGCAAAACGTGATCTTATTTACATTGTACTAACTTACTATTGTGATTTCTGGATAAAATAAAATAAATTGAATTCCCCTTGAAAAACTATTGAATTAGCCAACATGCGTCTCAAAATATCTTGGTAATAAATACATGTAGATGACGAGACAATATAGAAACAAGAATACGGGAAAACACGACTTTCTCTCCTACCCCACGCTTGATTACGATCCTGAAAAATAAAGCTATTTCAAATTCCAATGAATTAATTTGTTATGTAGATTTTAAATTGAAATCCACTATCTACTCACCGATATGCATTGGTATAAGTTTGTAAAAAGTTTGAATGAAACAATAACATTAACTTTTGATAAAGAAATGAAGGCAGCAGAGATGACCTATGACATGATTAAATGAATACCAATACCAATACCATGCTGAAACGTGTATTAACTGATAGTATAGTAAATGATTAAGCGTGGAAGTGATATTCTTATCGGGCGTTCTCAGCGTACGTTGCATTCTTGAAAAACATTTGTTTTACACAAACTCGTAAGTGTAGTAGCCGTTATCGATTCATAGTTTTATCATCTCGAAATGTGTAAACGTTGATTTTTCAAATTACCGCTCCCATGCGATGTTATCAGCATGTATAGATCACTTTAACACTGTTGTTGATTTGTCTTGATCATCTCTTAACACAGCGCATTTTTTTCGAAATCGGTCGTTTGAAATGAGCGAGCGTTTTTCATTTTATTAATAAAATTGACTGCGTATCATCACCTACGGATTGTTTCATAAATATTCATGTATTTTTCATGTTTCATATTTTTTATTCATGATATATAAACATGAAAATGATATTTTTTAAATGGGCTTGTTGAATAGTACTCCAAGATAACAATAACGCGCCCTTTTCTTGCACAAATTTTATTCGTTATTGCTCTTTATTTGTAATTTCGCTGAGTAAAACACCGACGAAATTGTAAATGCTAATTACTTTTAGTATGGCTTTCGGACATTACATAACACTAGTCAGATTGTCTAATCTTTGGCTGATAAACAAGCGGATGGATCACAAAAATACATTTTCAACATTTTGTGCGAGAGATAATTTTAAGAAATAGACATCGGGAATTCTTCGAAGAACTACATTAGTTGGGTCACACAACTTTACATCGACCTAACGTGTATTTCCCTTAACTAAAATATTCTTCCAAACTAACAAATCCAAATTACGTTTTTGTCTCTCTTGAAACACTCAAATCAACTTTATAAAACTTGATTCAAAACCACTCCAAGCATGGCGTAAGACAAAATGATTCACGTCAAATCATAAACTTCTTGTACTTGTTCAAAGTAGATGAAACGTTGGCCGATCCCATCTAAACAAACATAGAACCATATAAGGTTAACGTATATTAAAGAATGCATTGTAACGTTGATTAGACAATAGGACAGGAGCTATTTTCATTTATCATAAAAACATGGAATTTAAAGTAGTTTTTGTTTTGGCACTGGCCTGGAGTTTAAACTTTACTCAATTTGGTATGTATGAGACGCATAATAATATTCGTTCATCGGAATATCATGAATTATAACTTTTAGCAATGTTTGATCGTGTATCTATCTTGAACCATACTCAACGTTTGAATGTACCCGATATTTTACGTAGGTATAGGGTATATATTTTAAGTACAATCGGTTTTGGATAAAAAGTTAACCCTATGGAAAGAGTAAGAGACCACTTAGGTTATTGCGAACAATTTTAGACAGGTTTACTTTTGACAACTGGGAGTATTGTTAGACCAAACATTTCTGTTTTATATTAGAACATTTTTTTATTAATAAAGCATTTGATTTATCAAATTTATCAAATTATGTATACCTTCTATAAACGATTGTTTTATATTAAGTTAAATCAATGTTATTTTAGTGTCTACAGCCACAGTCACTGGCTTATCAGATACAACATTACCATCCAAGGTACCTGCAACAACAGAAGCCCCTTTAACAAACAAGGCCACTACAACGAAGGCCCCTACAACAGAGGCCCCTATAACAAACAAGGCCACTACAACGGAGGCCCCTACAACCAAAGACATTACAACAGAGGCTCCTATAACAACCAAGGCCATTACAACGGAGGCCCCTACAACAGAGGCCCCTATAACAACCAAGGCCACTACAACGGAGGCCCCTACAACCAAAGACATTACAACAGAGGCTCCTATAACAACCAAGGCCATTACAACGGAGGCCCCTACAACAGAGGCCCCTATCACAACCAAGGCCACAACAGCGAAGGCCCCTACAACCAAAGCCATTACAACAGAGGCCCCTACAACAGAGGCCCCTATAACAACCAAGGCCATTACAACGGAGGCACCTACAACAGAGGCCCCTATCACAACCAAGGCCATTACAACGGAGGCCCCTAGAACCAAAGCCATTACAACAGATGCCCCTATAACAACCAAAGCCACTACAACGAAGGCACCTACAACAGAGGCCCCTATAACAACCAAGACCACTCCAACGGAGGCCTCTACAACAAAAGCCCCTATAACAACCAAACCCATAACAACTGAGGCCCCTACAATAGAGGCCCCTTTAACGACCAAAGCCACTACAACGAAAGCCCCTACAACAGAGGGTCAAACAACGGAGTCCCCTACAACTAAAGTCTCTACAACAACCGAGGCCACTACTACACCAGTACCTACAACAGAGACTTCTATAACAGAGGCCCCGACCTCTGACGCATTTACAACTACCAGGGCCACATCAACAGCCAATGCCATTACAATAGAGGCCTCTACAACAACCGAGGCGCCTACTAAACCGTCAACAGGTCAAACCACTTCTGAAGTATCCACCATAACTCCTAGTCGTTCCACACCGACACGTCCAACCAGACCGACTCGGCCAAGTATTCCAGTATCGCGCACACAAACTGTTCCATCGGGGAGATCTACAACAGTCTTGTCTCTCTCTTCTACAACTGAAGGCGTTGACCCAACGGCTGACGCTGCTACTGGAGGCTTCCAGTGGAGTAAACATAGTGAGTGAATGGTTGAAATCGATCTTACAATGTACATGTATATCTTTTAAATCCTCAATCACATTTGCTCGACATCAGCCGTAGGGCGGGCGTATACTTATTCACAATCGATTTAGAAAATCTACACCGTACTGGTTATCCCTATATTTTATACTGTATATTTCTCCCGATTTTTGGAAGCTACGACCGCCGTAGGGTCTCTGTAGATCAAATGTGACTGAGGCTTTAGGAAGCGAAGTGAAATGAAGCACCGCTACCGAAAATCTTTATATCACGTATTTTTGAACCAATCAAATTCCTTGAAGCATCTTCGGCAATCTTCGGCGCCCGAGCTTATTTTGGTAATTGATATCATATAGTGCACTGTACTATACCAGTCATAGTTATAGTCAATCTATTTACGATGACATAGTTACATGCATTACGACATTATCCATGTAATTTGTAAATTGATTATTTCTTTTAGGACTATATATAATCATACCCCTGGTGGTTATCGCAGTTCTTATCATCGTCATCGCCGTTGTTATTGTTTATCTCAAAAAGAAGAAACGGTGAGTAAAGAGAAATGTTTGACCTTTAAATTAAGGTGGATCAAGACCTTTAAGGTGGGTCAAGACCTTTAAGGTGGTATGGCCTTAAAGGTGGAATAAGACATCATATCAAAAGTATATGAATAGCTAATATTTTCCACTTTGGTTCACTCGAACGATGTTAGAGTCAACACATTCGAGAGTCGAAAAGACACAAATATTGTTGTTATTCATGTTGTTAGGGAGATTAAGCTGCTTTACGTTTACGTACAGGTTTTTACTGAAACTTGTACGTGTAGAAGTATTGGGGTTAGCTCCTCGATTTAGAAAAAGATATCAGAAAAATGTATGCAATCAAGTCCCTCGGAAAACGAAATAAGAGGGGGTTTGTTCTCATTGAAATAATATGTTTCCACAAAAAGAATCTCACGAGAAATATCGAGAAGTCTCGTTAGTCCATGGGCTTTCGCACATGGTTAGTCTAAACTACCGGAAATTCAAACGTGACTTAAAAATCAAATTTTCCAATTTAGCGTATTACACAAGTCATAGCTGTTAAACTGTACACATTCTTTTAAAAATGTATCGCTTAACCTGGACACCGGGACCTGGACATCCCTATTGTCCATACGATTACTATCTCGAGACAAAATCATGTACGTAAACATTTGTCAAGATGATGTTTCACACGAAACCACAGACCAAAACATATTTGAAGTATTTATGTCTTTCGTATTTTAGCGAATACTTGACTTATTTTTTTTGTTACGAGATAGTTCTTTAATCCGATGAGATCTGTGTATATTGAACCTGTCCAGTAACTGATGTCATAAGAAAATAAGCACACAGTTTCATATTCTGTAACCGCGCCCTTTATTATTGGGACTAACATCAACTTTTTATTCTCGATAGTGCCGTTATTAAAATAACTTTAAAATGTATGATAAAGTTGATTTTTCTAAAGCCAACATGTATTAAGAGGCTTTGATAAGTGATTGAAGTGGACTTGCGATTGCCAAACTTATAAACGGGGGGGGGGGGGTGTATAGCACGGGGTTATAATTTTAATGCTGACAGCTCGTGACTTCAATTTCAAACAAGAATAAAATCAAATCAAATAGCTCATTTTGCTTATCACACTAAACATTCTAAGAAGTCCAAACCATCCTTCAAAGTGTCTTATCTATGTCTTGTTACATTTTAACGTTTTGATAACAACATTTTCAGTTTGAACAGGGTAGTGCTAGATGACACCGCTTGGGGACAAAACCAGTTGGCGATGGACAATTCTGGTATGACAAATATCCCTATGGAGAGATCGAAACCTGGTTATACAGCACTCCCGCAAGTGGAAACAAAAACTGGAGATGAATCTGTTTAATATACACATTTAAGATAGACAAATAACATAAATATAAACAAATATTATAGACAAAATCATAGACATCTGACATAGACAATTAACACATTGGTCATAAACATAGGTACTGTATATACGTGTATCATAGACATACTGGTACTCGTTTACGTAACCGGTGTAAAAGGGTAGGAGGTCCTATCAAATTATCATTTCTTTCACACCGTTACACATACTATAATCTGCTTTGTTCTGATTGTTGTTCCGATATTTATACTATATTGTGTTCATTTATATGTTGTTTTCAATTGTATTTGATTTTATTGTATCTGTGTGTACAAATTTATAATGTATTGTATGCGTGAACGAAATAAAGATGTCGTCTTTGTCAAAAAAGTATTGTTCATTGTATGTGTGTATGAAGTAGGGTCACAGGCTGGTATCGAAAGAGTTGTCCACTGTGACGGAGCATGTTATTTAAAACAAAACACTAAGAAAACCACAGTCAATTTATTTTTTAACTCATATGTTTCCTTACACAAAAGAGAATTACTTACTCCATGTTTTTTAGAGTATGATATACTCGGGGTGGAAAATTTTCTAAGAGGCTCCGTTAAGGAAAAAATGACTTTATGAGCTGGATGGAATTTCTGTGTATTTGTTATTATATTAGGGTGTCCTGCATAAAAGATTTCGCCTGCGAAGCATATAACTCTTGCGAACATATCTAAATACTGGTCCGAAGAAGACATACCTTGAATTTTTTAGAAAAAATTGGCTAAAAATGGAAACTACAAGAAGTCAAAATGTTCAACTCAAAAAAAGTTGTAGCTATTCTATATCAATATTTTGTATTATGTAAGGTTTCTCAGATGTTTCAAGACCTTCATAAGTATACTTGTGTCTAGAAATGTGACATTTAAGGACAAAATTTGGCATTTTTAATCATTTTCGCTTTCAGCATTAACATATAGTTCCTTATATCTCGAGTTTAATGCTGACTGGTTGTTGCATTTTTGATTAAATCTGTGCTTGTACATGTGTTCTTCCATTTAAGGGATAGAAAATGTACAGTGGACAACCAATGTTCGTATGAGAGCTTTCAGATCTCCCCTACCCCATTTATTATGGAAAATTACCGAAAAATATGAAAAAATAAAATAACTTAAAATTATAAACTTTAACAAAGTTGTAGCTATTCTATGTCAATATTATGTGTTATTTAATGTTTTTAAGATATTTCAGAACCTATTTCAATATACAAGTGGCTAGAAATGAGACATTTAAGGACAAAACTTGGTATTTTTTTTATCATTTTAGCTTTCAGCAGTAATATATAATTCCTCATATCTTGAGTTTTATGCTGTCTGATTGTTGCATTTTCAGTTAAATCTGTTCTTGTGCATGTCTTCTTACATTTAAGGTATAGAAAATGTATAGTGGACAAACAATGTTCATATTAGAGCTTTCAGATCTCCCCTACCCCATCGATTATGGAAAATAAACGAGAAAAATGAAAAAATAAAATAACTTGAAATTATAGACTTTAATAAAGTTGTAGCTATTCTATTATCAATATTATGTGTTATTTAATGTTTTTAAGATTTTTCAGAACTTTTATTGGTATTCAAGTGGCTAGAAATGAGATATTTAAGGGCAAAACTTGGCATTTTTTAACGAATGCTGCTTTCAGCAGTAATATATAGATCCTCATATCTTGAGTTTTATGCTGACTGGTTGATGCATTTTTGATTAAATCTGTTCTTGTACATGTCTTATTCCATTTAAGGTACTGAAAATGTATAGTGGACAAACAATGTTCATATTAAAGCTTTCAGATCTCCCCTACCCCATTTATTTGGGAAGATGACTGGAAAATATAAAAAATAACTTCAAACTACCAGTATAAACTTTAACAAAGATGTAACTATTCTTTATGTGTTATTGATTGCTGTAATTAATGTTTCAGGACCTTCATTAGTATACTAGTGTCGAGAAATTAGACATTTATAGAGAACAAAATTTGACATTTTTCATCATTTCCACTTTTAGCAATAACATATAGTTCCTTATATCTTGAGTTTTATGCTGATTGGTTGATGGATTCTTGATCAAATCTGTTCTTTTGCCTGCCTACTTTGATTTAAGGTATTTCAAAATGTATATTGGAAAGCCTGTCATTATATTAGAGCTTACATATCTCCCTTACCCCATTTATTTTGAAAAAATAAGCAGAAATATAAAAAAAACAATTTCAAAGTATAGACTTTAACGAAGTTGTCGCTATTCTAGATCAATACTATGTATTATTTGATATTTTCAGATGTGTAATGAACTTAATGAATATGCAAGTCTAAAAATTACACATTTAAAGTTGAGTTGCAAATGGGGTGGGTATTCTCTATCTTTGTCTATTGGGTTTTTCTGGTTATAATATGTTGCAAACTGCTCACGAATCTATGCAATGTATAGTACAACACTTGGAATATATTTTAAAGTAATGGGGTATAGTACTGTGATAATTATAACCAGTGATCAAGCCATATTGGTTGAATTCCTTCATATCAATATCCTAGATGCGAGTAGAAATAATCTTGATTTAAGTCATTAAAAATTCAAAATTCAGTCAAATTGATGTCATATTTGGAATGTACATGTAAAATTACATCTAATACAGTAAAATTTTAAATGTTTGTGACTACTTTGAATTTAAAAAATAAGCAATCAAATGACCAAATTGAAACAGTTTATGTAAAAATAGAAATATTTATATTTATCCTAACTTTTGTATATTTTAGTTTGTTTTGTAGTTTAGCTATCATATCTGTGTCCTCTTATATTTTGATACTTCTCTGCCATGTCATTTGCGGAAAAATTAACATGGCTGAAACTCCCTAAATTACAAAAGGCCACAGCTTTGCTAAACATTATACATTACTATCTGAAATATACAAAAGTTAGGATAAATATAAATGTTTCTATTTTTACATATACTGTTTCAATTTGGTCATTTGATTGCTTATTTTTTAAATTCAAAGTAGTTCCTAACATTTAAAATTTTACTGTAATATGCTTTTGAAAAGAGTTTATCGAAAATGTGACTTCTAGGTCGGGGAGATTCCCCATAGCCCCCATGTTGTAAAATCACAAAAATGGAAATATCTTTTCTTGTGTTGGGCAGATAATATTTTTCTTTTACTGGACATATTTTAATTTGTATAACTATCAGATACATAAGGGTAATATGAAAACTGAACCACTAAAACTGATAAATATTTAAGTTTAAGGGAATTTTGTAATACCCTGCCATGTTATTTCCCCCGAATCAGCCACCTGGTGGCGAAACTGGTAACTACCTACCCGCATCTGGGTAATTGTAATGTTGTCAAAGGCTTGGTGGTTTCCATATTACACCTAGGGGTGGTGTAATTAGGAAATTCATGATGGATATTGGGCTTGGGGATATTTTGGTAAATGTAAACATTGTGAAATGAAGAACAGCCAACAAGATGATTTTGGAAAGGATTACAAAATGGTAAGCTGTCTTTGGTTTGTAAAGCAATGTTACCATATCTCTACAAATGGGATGAATTTCACTTATTGCAGAGCTGCCATTGAACTTTGCAAAACTGATAGTTGCAACTTATCTATCAAATACTGATCATGAAGAAGTTGACACTCTCCTTGTGGCCCATGTCTATTACAGTGCTGCAGACAAGACAAAGGAGTTCAATGTTGAGAGAATTTGTATTCAGTCTGATGATACAGAATGTTGCTTGCAAAGAAGGATGAGAGTTAAAAAGAGCTCTTAAAGTTTCTTATGTCCTTCAAGGTTAGCATTCTAAATTACTATATGAATCTCAAAGTGCAATACCTATTTGAAGATATATCAAAGATGGGTGTCTTGTACCAGTACTCACAAACAAACCTTCGTAGCAACACAAGAAACATATGTCCTTGGCAATTAGGAAATGTAAAATGGCAAAAGGCACCGAATATTGCAAATACAAAGTTTCTAGTCAAGGGTGTATTGCTTCCTGTCCATATGGCAATAAACAACACAAGTGCACATCGTTGGAAAATATTTAAGGATGAGTTTCTTAGAACTATAAAAATTATTTAGATATCTTACATATCTGAATATATAGCTTGTGGTGTCATGAGCAACTTAGACCTTTAAATGACTTGAATGTAGCTCTAACATAGAACCAGGGAGATTTGAAAAATCAGGCTGTTGCTGGATTAAGTTCGAGAGTTGTGAACAATCATGTTTATATATAGACATATCCTTTGATTCATATGAGAGTAAACTGTGAAATTACAAAATTATTTCGCACTATTCTATTTTTGAGTAATCTTTTAAAAATATGGTAGTGTAGTAATTTTATCTCTAATATGTATATTTGTGTTTAAAACACATTTTCCATGCTTTGAAGATAACAAGACACATAATTGAATATATATGATCTAAAATATGTCAACTAATCACCATTCAACTAAAAATATAAACAACTATTGCTGAAAGTGAAAAATTGGTCATTTTGCCCATTTATGTGTCATTTTTTGATTTTAGTGTGCTAATAAATGTGCTAAACTTTTGAAAAGTTTTAAGAATATTAACATGCACTAATAACATTTGTGTTGTTTTTCTCATTTAATGGTGGAGGGCAGATCTTAGACCTCTTATAAAAACATTCGTTGTCTTACATACATTTTCTCTAACTTAAATCAGAGAAGACAGATTCAATAAAAAGCACATATAAATCTATCATCAAAGAATTATAATTGTGGAAAATTATATGCTACTGCTAAATGCAGAATGCTAAAAATGCCAAATTTTAGACACATGTAATCAAATGAAGGTTACATTAAATAATACATAGTATTGATAGAGAATAGCTACAATTTTGTAAAGTTTATGATTTGAAATTACTTTTTCATTTACATTATATATGGGGCAGGGGAGACATGAAAGCCATAATATCAACATTGGTTGTCCAATATACATTTTTTATATCCTAAATGGAAGAAGACATGTACAAGAACAGATCTGACCAAGAATGCACCAACCAGTCAGCATAAAACTCAAGATATAGGGACATATGTGTTATTGCTGAAAGCGAAAATGAAAAAAAAAGGTTTTGTCCTTAAATATCTCATTTCTAGGCATTAGAATACTAATGAGGGTCCTGAAACATCAGAAAAAGATTAAATAATACATAGTATCGACATAGAATAGGTACAACTTTGTAAAAGCTCATAATTTGAAGTTATTTTACTTTTTATTAATATTTCCGGTCATTTTTCCTAATAAATGGGGTGGGGGAGATCTGAAAGCTCTACTATGAACATTGGTCATCCACTATACATTTTTTATATCTTAAATGAAAGATGACATCTACAAGAACAACTTTGACTAAGAATGCACCAACCAGTCAGCATTAAACTCAAGATATAAGGACCTATATGTTATTGCTGAAAGCGAAAATGGTGAAAAAAGCCATGTTTTGTCCTTAAATGTCTCATTTCTAGGCACTAGTTTACCAATAAAGATTCTGAAATATCTTAAAAACATTAAATAATACATAATATTGATATAGAATAGCTACAACTTTATTAAACTTTATAGTTTCAAGTTATTTTATATTTTCATATATTTCTTTAATTTTTCATGATAAATGGGGTAGAGGAGATCTGAAAGCTCTAATATGACCATTGGTGGTCCACTATACATTTCCTATACCTTAAATGGAAGAAGACATCTACAAGAATAGATTTGATTAAAATTGCAACAACCAGTAAGCATAAAACTCAATGTATGAGGAACTATATGTTACTGCTAAAAGCTAAAATGATTTTAAAAAATGCCAAGTTTTGTCCTTAAATGTCTCATTTCTAGGCACTAGTATACCAATAAAGGTTCTGAAATATCTGAAAAACATTAAATAATACATAATATTGATATAGAATAGCTACAACATTGTTAAAGTTTATAAATTCAAGTTATTTTATATCTTCATATGTTTCAGTAATTTTTCATAATAAATGGGGTAGGGGAGATCTGAAAGCTCTAATATGACCATTGGTGGTCCAATATACATTTTTTGTATCTTAAATGGAAGAAGACATGTACAAGCACAGATTTAATCAAAATTGCAACAACCAGTCAACATTAAACTCAAGATATAAGGAACTATATGTTACTGCTGAAAGCGAAAATGATCAAAAATGCCAAATTTTGTCCTTAATTATCTTATTTCTAGGCACTAGTACACTAATGAAGGTCCTTAAACATCTGAAAAACATTCAATAATACATAGTGTTAATATTAGATAGCTAGAGTTTTGTTTGAGTTGAACATCCATTTTTAGCCAATTTTTTTATAAAATATTCAAGGTATATCTTCTTCGTACCAGTATTTAGATATGTTCGCAAGAGTTATATGCTTCGCAGGCGAAATCCCTTATGCAGGAAACCCTAATAAAATGAAAAATACAGAGAAACTCCATCCAGCTCACAAAGTCATTTTCTGCACAATTCTCACACCTTCCACCCCGAGTAATACTCTGGCGCCGTTTTCAATTGTTAATTATCCCTAGCGTTATTAGACTTCAAACAGAAGTGAAGGTTACCCCCGAATGATATGTCCGTGGCATGGAGTAATTTTCTTTGGAATAACAAAACATATGACTTAAAAAATAAAATGTGAAGTATTCTTAGTGTTTTTATGAAAAAGGCATGCTACGTCAAAGCAGACAAATCTTTCAATACCAGCCGATGATCCTTCTTATCCCATACAGTAAAATTTTAAATGTTTGGAACTACTTTGAATTTAAAAATAAGCAATCAAATGACTATATTGCAACAGTATATAAAAAATAGAAACACATATACTTGTCCTAACTTTTGTATATTTCAGATAGTTATGTATAATGAGCAGCAAAGTTGTGGCCTTTTGTAATTTAGGGAGTTTCAGCCATGTTTATTTTTCCAAGTAACATGGCGGAGAAGCATCGAAATATAAGAGGTTACAAATATGATAGCTTAACTACAAAACAAACTAAAATATACAAAAGTTAGGGCATGTATAAATGTTTCTATTTTTACATATACTGTTTCAATATAGTCCTTTGATTGCTTATTTTTCAAATTCAAATTAAGTAGTTCCAAATATTTAAAATTTAACTGTACTTGCCATACCCCAACATGGGGGGGAATGTTTTCTAGCTATAAGTCAGTAGAAAACACGGAAAGATTTTGAGACAAAAAGTACACACTTTTCGTAATTTGATGCCATGCTAGATAAATATACCTTTTATTAACTTTTTTATGTTATAACAATGACAAATTGAATACAAGGTCAAAATACGTACAGAATTCTCGAATGCCGAATGTAAAGTAATTGATTAACTTTTAAAGCGCATAAATGGTTCCATGGTGTAGTGGTTATCACGTCCGCCTCACACGCGGAAGGTCCCGGGTTCGACCCCCGGTGGAACCTTTTGCATGCTAAATAGTCCAACAAGATTCATATTTGAAAGTTTTTTTGTGGAATGCGAAACACACTTCTTTTCTACGTATTTTCACAGGGTACGTAACAAATTAAGCGTGACAGTTGATAGATATAAGATACAATACAAATATGATGAAATGTGAGAAAATAGATGTTTCACGGTGAGGTACAACACACTCTACTATACCTTGCATTTAGTGTTCACAAGCAACTCATTTGGCTTAATAGTAAGGATTATGTTATTAAATAAAATCGCAATCAAAGAAAAATAGCACAATTTTGTACTTTTTTCTAGTTAAGTGGTGCACAATGAGTCGAAAATGCGGTGCAGAAAAAGGTAAAAGTGATTATTTCAACCTCTATCATTTTATGCAAAATATAGAAACGAATTTAACAGGAGTTTATGCTGAGCATTTTCAAAACCAATTACACATTATTTGATCATAAGCACATTTTATATTTTGTAAATATTTTAATTCAAAATTTGTTTCCCTTTGTAAATCACAACTTTGATGTTGTCGTTTTAGATTTGTTATCATCCGTAAACTTTTGATAGAAAATAGTTGATCCGATCCAACGATCCGCGCTGTTGTAAGCGACATATGGAAGTTCAGCAATTTTATCATAATCAGCATCTTCATAGACATCCTTCCCGATTTTAAATGTATCAAGGACGTCGGTGAGTTCTCTTTTAAAATACAGCAATTTGCTCAAACGTACAGCAAAATTGTGAATTTCTTTGACAATTTCTTTGTAGCTAATTGAGTTGGAAATGTCATTGGATGTGACGATTTTGATTTCGGCAAGATCTGCATTCACGCTTCTACTAAATCTCGAACCCGATATGATCACAACAATACACATGTTGCCATGGTGATCTATGCACTTGAATAAGTAATGTCGTTTTAAAGACAACTCTGATAAAAACGTGTCAAAATTTGGATATTCATCCAGGCCAAGTTCAACGTTCCTTATTTGGGCATGACGTAAGAGTTTATAGGTTTCAGGTAAATCAATGACGGTTGCAATTCTCACATCTAACTCCAGATTAAAATCTTTAAACTCAAGTTGACAAGGCAATTTTTCTATAAGTTCGTCTTCAACGTTTTTGTTAATTAGATCTGCTTGAATGCACTGTGCTCGGGGCTGTGCTTCGCGTCGTCTTCTGCTGATAAAGGCTCTGGTTCCAGCGGTCAAGGGCCTGTCATCTGAAAAAATGTTGTTTTGTATTGAATGCGATATATGTATGTTTGTCAAGTTATATAGCGTTTATGCCTATTTAACAGTGACTGCATTGGTATGTGAGTCTTTTATAACGTGAACGGGAGCGAAAAGATCGATATAATCGATATAAATGGGAAAATGTTGCGCACTTTTTGTAACACCGAATTATGTTTACCCGTTCAATTCCGTAATCATAATATATGATGTAACCATCAATCCACCCATTTTGGACCATGTAAGACACATTGGGAATTTCCCAAGTACCTCGATTTCATGTGCATTTGAATACCTAGACTATACACTTAAAATATACTAGATATCTTTTACCTGTTCAATTCCGTAATCAGAATATATATGATGTAACCATCAATCCATCCATTTTGGGCCATGTACGCCACGTGGGGGATTTTCCCAAGTATGTTGTTACCAAGGCGATCAAGCATCTTTACCAGAGCAGAATTATTAACTAATGTATCCCCCATAAATCCTGCATATTTTGTCGCTTGTATTGATTGGATCAAATTCTGATACGCATATGAAAAACGACCTTGACCTTGAAAGTTCAAGGACATAACACCAGGGCCAGCTGCTAAACACGTATTCGCACTTCGAGCAAATCGACTCGGAACCACAGAGAATGCACCGTATCCACAAGATGGATCGTCGGCATCTTTAACAAGAAACATCACGGATGATTCGGCTGTGAATATCCTTTTGAATACATCAAAGCCGTGTGTGACAAAATCACCAATTCCATAGCCCTTCCCGACTTCACTACAATCCATGAAAAGCTTGGAGGCAGTTTTGAAATCATCATCCTTTTCTACAATATCCGTCACCCATGTTCGCCCCATTTCTTCACTTGTACTTGAAAATCCAAGAATTTTCCTAAGCTCGTCATTATCAAGTTTAGGCATTCTTCACTGTACAATGTACATCAGTACAGAGGTTAGCGATATGAAATAGGGACTTCGACCATAGGTTCTGGGCCGATATAAAGATGGCAGCACCAACAGAATCCAGTAAGAGAATATTTATAAATAAACACAGATCGATTACCATGCCATCTTTATTTAAAAATATTCCTATCGGCCTTTGCCTATGACTTTGACAAAAGTTCAAGTAGGTTTACTACACATATCACAGGATAAATAAATCATTTGACCATTTGAAATACTATTCTTGGCATTTTATTGATTTCTTTTAACTTCCATTGCATTTTTTATTAAAATGATCTTATATTGTCAACTTGCGATCATAGCCCCCACTGGCGGACCCAGAAGCTAACCAAGGGGTGGATTTTGAGTCAGGAAAAAATATTTTGAAGCCCTACAGTTTTTTGGCGCCCTAATTTTTTTCTTGGGCCCTAGACACTTTTCTGGGCCTACATACGTGACGATCCTCTCTTTATCGTCAAAATTTTATATCTTAAGACACGACTGTGTATTATCATATCTAGTATATTCCCTATTAAATCGTGATTTAGTATACAAATAAATCTGAAACAAGCTGATTGGAGCATTTTTTGTCGATTTTTAATCAAAATACTCGTATAACCTAATCAACGGGCTTTGTTAAAGGTACTGTATATATTTTGATCCACCCACAATTCACATTTTAATTTATATTAACTAGGGTCGAGGCTAATGTATAACCTTCTTTATTTGAAGTTTTCTGAAGATCAATTTTTTTACCAAAGCTCAAAGCAATTTTCAGGTAAATTACATGAAGAAGTTCAAATCTTTGTTCAAATCTTTATTTAATGTATCGTTTTAATCTGAACATTTATTTTAGATGCATTTTAGTATGATATACACTGTACATGTACTCTCAATATCATATGCTGCGCTGGGCTATCGTGAGCCACGTGCTACTATTTTAAAAGTGTGAGCAAATATAAATAAATTAATAAAGCAAATGTGGTAGTGATATTTTGAAATGAAACCAACTTTTCCCTTATACTTTGATTCAGATTGAATCATTAGTAGCTAGGGCACATTTAATGAACATGTGCAATTTGATGTATAACATACGAAATGTATAATTTTCGCCCGGGATTTTTCGGTAGGGCTAGGGCTACAATTTAGAGCGCATTTACTTGTGAATCCGATCGATATTATTGATTTATGAAAGTCCAGAGTTTGTATAATTTAAATATGCGTACGTTTCAATAGATTATCGTCAAAAGAAATTATATTCGGGTCAATAAAGATTTGTGTGTCGTAGCTATGCTCTCGTATAATTCAACAATACCCTACTCTCGCAAAAGATTTGTCCAGAATTTCAGAATCCATTTCCAGAATTTTTTATCTATTTCGTTTATTTTTCTCTAATGTTCTTAAATGTCGCGTCCATTATACAATGTCGGGTCGTAAAAAAATTGAGTGTTCTCAATCTTAAATCAATAAGTTTACATAGCAAGAGGTTATTTTGATTATTTCATTTAAGAGAAGAATAGCCTGGTAATACAAAAGTAATACAAAACTCTTGGAGATTTAAGTAGAAATTTGAACTTCTAGCCAAATCGCCTTGTAATGGAGAATAAGTACTGTGAACATAACATCTGATCCAGAAGGAGATACGAACCAGAGAACGTGATGAAGAAATAGAGAACGTGATGACGTTAGAATAGTCATAAATGCGATTGGTATCATTATGTCTACTTAGGGAACTTTATACATACAGACACACACAAAGATATTAAAATCAATGTTTTTGGTCGATTGGTCATACTTGATCAAAGCTAAGCAAATTGCGGATCTATAAGAAACATATTAGATTTGGAGTTTATTGAGTAAATAACTGGACTCTATCGATAATGTCAAAACTGGGCAAGTTCGCAAAGAGTGACTTTACAAAGTGTAAAATATGCCGACTCCTTTATCGTAGCCCAATCTCCCTGCCTTGTCTTCACAGCGCTTGTGAGAAATGCTTCAAGAAACAGGCGACCAACAACAGCGGGGAATATAGCTTCACATGCCCTCAATGTAACGAAACTGCTAGCCTGAAAGACATCAAAAGGGACGTTTTCGTGGGGAATATCACAGAGGTCGCCTACTGTAATGTGAATGAAAGCAGAACGTGTGGGCATTGTAAATACAGGGGCGGCAACAACAGGTGTGTTCAATGTCGTATGCACCTATGTCAGGACTGCACGGATGCCCATCTGGATAACGCCAAAACTCGCAAGCACAAGATATTCCCTTATGCCGACATCCGCGAGGGTTATCACGATAAAGACATTCGAACCAATCAACTTATAGAATGTGACAAGCACACCGACCAATCATTGGGCCATTTCTGCGAGGACTGTACAACCATTTTCTGTGCTGTTTGCCTGAAGGAGGACCATGCCGACCATCAAACGCTGACTATAAAAGAATCGAGCAAGTACGAGAATATCCTAAGACAACAACGTGATTCAGTAAACGGCAGACTGACTAACCTCTCTAACTATCGCCAATACCTACAAGATTACGCTGATGAGATTGAGACAATGAAAGGCAACACTGTTAATGACATTGAAGCCCAGGCTGATGCCTTAAAAGCGCTAATTGACCGAAGAAAGGAGAAACTAATCGATGGTGTGAATACGATTTGTGAGAACGAGAAGAAAGGTCTTGCTTCTAAAATTGACTCATTTGAGAGTACAATATCAAGCATTAATGGCGTTGATAGCTCCTTGGAAATACTTTTCCAATACGGCAGACCGGAAGAAATACTATCAATATATAAAGACATTATGCTTCGTACAGAATTCTTCAAAAATGTCCAAATGGAGGGTATTGCCAGTAAGACACACGTGAAGCTTCAAAAGGGGATCATAAAACAAGAGGTCTTGGAAGAGATGCTGGGAGAAGTGGAGGTCTTTCAGTCTTCCCAGGATTCACTAGCTATGACAGGGGATCAGGGTATTACGTTGGGGACCACCTACAATGTCCAGCCAGATCTCATACTGGCATTTGATCCAAAAATTGATACCGATGAAAATGACCCAATCCCTATTGCGATAGATACAAATAAACATGGGGAGTTCGTCGTGCTAGATAGCGCTAATAAGAAGATAAAGACTTTCAACCCGGAAGGTGAATTTCTACATGAGTTCACAACAACAGCCAAACAGCCTTATGATATCACTGTACTCCCGAACGCCCATATTGCCGTTAGTGATTTAGACTCTAACGACAAAATCAAACTATACTCGAGAGAGGGGGAATACCAGCGATCTATAAAAGGCGAATACCAAGGCCCTAAAGGAATTGCTTGCACGACAGATGGGCTCGTTGCAGTGGTTAATAGCTCGGAGCAAGAAATTACAACCCATAGAGTAAAAGACGGAGAGGTCGTGACAACAATAGAAGGGAAGGATGACTTTGGATTCGACATTGTCCAGGAAGCAGACCGGTTATGCATAACAAAAACGAACAACCTTGTTTTGTTAGACAGACAAAAACCGCACGTCAAAGTCTACAGTATGGAAGGAAAATGTTTGAATCAATTTAACCAGAGCTCACAGAAAGTCCTCGGTCAGCCTGCTGGGATATGCGTCGACGGGGTTGGGTGTATATACATATCCGACCATAAACACCATCAGGTTGTGGAGCTCAGGCCAGATGGTAGCTTTGTACGTGTGCTCCTTGACAAACACTCAGGTCTATGGCAGCCCCTCGCTCTTACTGTTACAAAGGCGGGGCTTCTTGCTGTCACTCAACAGATTGGTAGTGTCAGACTCTTCAAGTATAAATAATTTGAACATAACCTGTGGTAACAACCGACCACTGGTCCTAACGATAACTGCAGTTAGTTTAAACAAAATGGTTGACACTATTTTACATGAATCTTTATGACAACTAATTCATAAAGTTAATCATTAAACTGTAAATGCCTATGAAATTGCTGAAATATCCCAAAAATCGGGGAATTGAAAAGAAAACAGCTTTTTCAAGTAAACAATAATAAAAATCAACATTTTTGTTTCAAAGTTATAATATCTATTCTCATCCGAGAGGCAGCAGTTGTCTCTGAGATATTCATTTAAGCATGTTGCTTATTATAATACATTGGTAATATACAGTTGCGAGTGTTAGATTGGCGAATTATCGATCATCAATATACGATGCCGCCATTGCGGTAACACTAACTGCGGTTACCGTTATCTAAAGGGTAGTAGCATATCGGTCGTGCCTTAACGATACAGTAATGCACTTTGATATAAATATATACGTTAGGCATAATACAGAAATACACATATTTTAATTTAACAATACAATCTTGCTATTTATTAATGTATTAATATTTCACAAAACAAGTTAACTGGACAGCTCTGGCAGACTAGATCGAAAAGTTACACATATTGCAAAATCTGCTTGTTATATACAAGTATCTGAAATATACATATCAGCCATAGAATAGTTCAGTTAATTAAACGATTTAAATCAATTTCAAAATGATTCAACTCGAGGATTCAACATAATGATTTTGATACGGGCAACGTATTTAAACAAACAAATACTAACTGTTAGATTGTACAAACTTTTGTGTTCGCTTCATGTTCATTTTCCATATCATAAAGATAATATAGAGGGCGTCACACATTTCCACTTGTTATGGCATTTTAACTGACCGATATAAGTGTCAAGATTTACAAAGATTACACAAAAATACCCGTTTAGTCTTATGTACACGAATTATGGGAGGTATCAGATCTAGAAAGCAAGCTGAACAATAATTTTAGAATATGTTTGGCTCATATCATTTCGTGTCATGTCTATTTTCTAAAAATCCCGAGGTGCAGACTTTCTTTGAGAAAAACTTAAGATTTTTACGATCTTTAAAAGTGTTTTCATTTCAGAGACCTGGTTACCAAATTTAGCACTTTTAATCCTAAATAACTTTACCAACTGATAACATATCACATATCCTTTGGTCTTTATTAAACTCCCCTCCAAAAGTTTGGCAACATCAGCTCCCTCGCTGAACTACAAGTTAAAGCCACTTTATGTTTGAATTTTTAACAACATTTGGAGGGGAGTGAACATCTGAGATCGTAACAAACACACTGGTATGTACATGTTGTTTCATATTTCTTACCCTAAAATCCGATCCTGTCTTTAAATACCAACTGAGAACAACATGAAACACGTATACTTATATACAAAATAACAAGACATTACTATGCAAAATGTCACCACATGTCATTTGTTACAGACACCCAACGCCGAAAACCAGCCGTCGAACACCAATCAACGCCACAAAGAGAGACTATAACAATATGTCACAACGTGTAGTGGCGACATAATAACATACAGTTTTCAACAAATATAACAGGATAACATTTCTTTGTTGTGTAATCAGCTCTGCAAATTGTTGTTTCTAATTGTGCTTGCATTATAGTTCGTAAAATTGGCGTTTCCCGTAATTATGGTAACTACGTTTTGTTATCGACTCCTCCTGGTATCAATTCTGCATCGGAACCGAATATTGATGAAATGGATGGTTCTGGTTCCTTAATGCTAAGTCGTTTGGCCAGCTCTTTAGCGGCGCTTCTTTGTCGTGGACTACTTACAACCGCGGATGGATGATCAATTGGGACCTTTGTCATGTTCTCATCACCTATGGTAGAGATATAGTCCTCGTCGTCATTTTTTATGTTCTTGTTGGCCTCGGCTATTTTGTTTGAGCGACGTATATTCCAATCACTTCCCTTTTTAGAATCAGCGTTGGACACACGACTTCCACGTCTGAAGTAAAAAATATTTATAACAGCGTTCGGAATATATACAGTCTAAGAATTACATTCAAATACTGTATTATAATGTTGAATTTAATTACACCGAATCATAAATCTAGAAATTTGCAGTTATTAAACTTTTGATTTAATTGGCTCATTGCGTCACTGTAAGTTTTGAGAATCAAAGGAAATGTGTTTAGTTATAAGTTGTGACGTAGTCTTGCCTCAAAAATCTGATTCTTTCTTAGAGGAATAGGGGTTAGGGTTAGTTTAAAGGGTTAGGGTCAAGGGATAGGCCGGTGTAAAAGGGTAGGAGGTTCTATCAAATTATGGTCCTACTCTCCATTGATTTATATGGTGACCTGAATACAACTCTTTCCCTCATTATCTTATACGCAATCAGGGCCAGTAAGGGCCATTAAGAAAGGGGACCATAATCCCTGGGGGACCATCATTTTTTTCACACCGGTGTGAAATGGTAGGAGGTCCTATCAAATTATGGTCCTACTCTCCATTGATTTATATGGTGACCTAAATACAACTCTTTCCCTCATTATCTTATACGCAATCAGGGCCAGTAAGGGCCGTTAAGAAAGGGGACCATAATCCCCGGGGGACCATCATTTCTTTCACACCGGGTTAGATTTTGGCCTTGGTTTGGCCATCTTTGGTTTCAGACCAAAAATCATGACCCCAATAGAAGGTATCAATGTATGACTTATTCAATACCTCGCATACACAGCAGGTTCGCTTGCCACTCTGTTCCCAATGAACATCATCCCAGTAGGTTGATGGTGGTCTATGCCATGCTCCACGTAATCAGATCCCAACCTCTCGTGGTCCTTCGACAGTCGGATCCCAAGAGTATATTTCAGTGGCTAAAACATGTATATCATGTATTAAAGAAAGTTAGAGCATATAGTGCATTACTTCTGGGACAACCCTCGTATCACCATAGGTTTCGGCCAATACAAATATGGATGTATTGGAAAATAACCCCACGTCCTCGGGAATGATAGGAAACATTTATTGTCATGTAATGTGGAAAAAACGCTATATGATAGTTTATGGAGCCGGAAGTTCTCGTTTGAATCATAATCGAACCCGTTTATGTTGGCGATTAAAAAACGCAAAGGAGGAGGGAAGTTAGTGCAACAGATTTTGGACAGTCATATGTTTGATTTTGGCCATTTCCTGGGGATTAAAACAGGTGCATATGTTAGGCGAATGCATTACCTCCAGGAAAATCACTTCTAGAGATGATAAAATAATTTCGACTTTGAGACAGGGTAGATGCAAACAACGCACCCACATGTTTTTTCTGAAACGTTTTCCTGATTTTCAACCCCTTCCATCCCTGCTTTTTTAATTTTTCTTGCATCAATATGTTGCATTTTGACACACAGATAATCCCTTAAAAGGAATAAATGATTCCTTTTAGATAAAGTGGAAAACAATATTTCCCATGTTATTTTCCCATAGGAAAAATCATTGCTTTCAGCTAAGTTTGGTCACCCATAATGGGTATCTTTAAAACCCCTGAAGGAATCACTTATTCCTTTAAAGTGGTTAACTATATGTCAAAATGCAACATATTGATGCAAGAAAAATTGAAAAAGCAGGGGTGGAAGGGGTCGGAAATTAGGAAAACATTTCAGAAAAAACATGTGGGTGGGTTGTTTGCATCTACCCTGTCTCAAAGTCAAAATTATTTTTTCATCTCTAGAAGTGATTTTCCTGGAGGTAATGCATTGGCCTAACATATGCAATTGTTTAAATCCTCAGAAAATGGCCAAAATCCAAAATATGACTGTCCAAAATCTGTTGCGCTAATTTCCCTCCTCTTTTGTCAAACATTTCCGAACTATATATTTTGATTAAAGAACAAAATAAAGTTTGGAACATTGACAGGTTTTAATATACCATGCAATAATGACTTCTTGTTACTAAACTTATGAAGGTGTGTGTACAGATAACTTACCAGCAATATTGCAAGTGTACTAAGGGCTGACCAGGCTGCTATACAGACACACGCAAGGAGCTGTACCCCCAGCAGTCTGAATCCACCCCCACGGAACAAACCACTCTGCCCTTTTGTCATGTTTTCCAGTGTATCGTTCTCTGCAAATAGTCCGACAGCGAGCATTCCCTGAAATATACGAGTACAGCTTACGGTCGACTTGCGACTGCCGTAGGGTTTCGATGGGTAATGTACCTTTGGAAACTGGTTTTAGGTCAGGTTTTCTGTCATATCTTTGCTGTGAACAAGTTCGCAAGACGATTGACCCGATTCCCGGAGGACCCAGCTGGGTTTTTCACATATCATATATGATCTCGTATTTATTCTGCAAGTGAACATTGCAATTTAGGACAATTTCTTTTCTTTATTATGATCTATTTAAACTACTTTACTCTACACATTCGGCTTTCAAATTTCCTGCCAATTTTGCCTCTTCCAGTTTCACGCGTTGCCAACAACCGTTAATTTGAATTTTAGACCTACCCCATGTTTGAAAATGAGAATTGTGAGTCTGATACTGCACCGTTTTACATCAAACTTGTTTCATCAAAAGACGAATACCCATGCAATGTTTCGGAATATGTTGAAGACTAGCACTGCCAGGGAGTATGATTAAAAGCAAAACAAAATTGCCTTTCTGTCGTTGCATTCCTTTATTGTACATAGTACTTCGATTTAATAGCGGCGTTTTGGTCCCCAGCTGTGAGAAACGCATCTCACAGCTGGGGACCAAAAACGCCGCTAAAGGGACTTTGTATAACGGAACAATGTAACAACAGAAAGGCTTTTTGTTAAGCTTTGAATGGAACAAGTTTGATGAAAAACGGTATAGTATAAGGCTCACAGGGGTGTAACGGGCCCTGACACCCGATCTGTTTCGTGCTATAAAAAAGGGGTCGGAGGCTGTAGAGTAAATAATTATGAAACTATAAATCTGGCATCTAATAGTATTCGTGACGTTTCGTAATATGTATGTGTTGTGATAATAACAGATGTGACATTGTTACTTTAAATGTGACTTTGAAAGATGGATTCATCGTGAAAATGTATGTTGCATTGTATCAATGTAACCCAGAAACAAATGAAACCGTTTGGCGATAGTAAGGATTTTAAGTATACACCCGTTAAATGAATCTAACCAATATCAGAAACTGGAATATTTCGGAGAACAATCAACATTTGGGTCCTATTCTCTATTGATTTATATGGTGACCTAATTACAATATTATCTTCTTTATTATTTATACACAGTCGGGGCCAGTAAGGGCCGTAAGGAAAGGAGACCATAATCCCCAAGGGACCATAATTTCTTTGAAACCGGCATTGCGTTGCGATTGGGGGTTTTTGGCAATTGGAAGAATGAGACCCAAAGTTATGTATTTGCAATGGATCATACATGTAACCAATGTCTGACTGCTTTGGCACGATTCTGATATGATAAAATGACGTCATCCAAACGGAACGCAATATTTACTGGTCTATAAAGAAAGTTACAAGTCATACATATTCGATTATATATACAATATAGTTAATCAATAGACTAAATGCGAGTAGAAATAATCTTAATTTACGTCATTAAATATTCAAAATTCAGTCAAAGGGATGTCATATTTAAAATCTACATGTAAAAGTACATCTACAAATGTAGTTTCGAAAATTGTTTATCAACTTTGAAAATTTAATTATTTTGAAAATGTGACTTCTAGTTCGGGTTGATTCCCCATAGACACCATGTTACAAAATCACAAAAAGTGAAATATCTTTTCTTGTATTGGACAGATTACATTTTATTTTACAGGACATATTTCAATTTGCATAACTATTAAATACATAAAGGTTATATGGAAATTGAACCACTAAAACTGACGTAATTTAAGTTAAAGCGAATTTTCTACTTTACCCGCCATGTTATCTGACCCGAACGAGCCACCTGGTGGTGATACTGGTAACTACCTACTCGCATCTGCGTTAAAAACGTTATTATGAAATAGCATATCATCATATTGAAATCAATTTTACTCTATCGTCATATTTCACATTGATTAAAAATGTGGATAGTTTTATTCAAAACCATATACAGGTTTTGATAAAATCACCCTCGATGTTGAGGTAATACATGGAATAGAATAATCGCTCGGGGTTATTAATAATTTGGAGTCATATGACAGTAAACTCCGCCATTACTTTCACGGGATGTCAACTAAACGGCTAATTGCAGTAATATTAGGAACCGGAGCATGTCGCTTAATACAATAAGATAACCGATCTTATGAGCGTTTGCACTCTTTATTATTAATAGGGAGGATCGTCTTACTATAAAGCATGATTGTTCGTCAATTTGTCTCTCTTTCTCTCTGTCTCTCGCTCTGTCTGGACATCCCCTCACAGACCGTTTGACCTTTGGTTATCATACTTGGTCATTGTACTAAATGAGTCAATGTGTATTTTCAAGGTCATAGGTCAAGGTCATTCAAAGGTAATAGGTCAGTATCTAGATATTGAATTTGGCATTTTAGATCCTTGGTGGGTGCTGTGACTCTTAACGACCCATGATTAGGTAACCCAAGGTCAAGTTCATCCCAAGGCCAAAGGTCAATTAAGTATATTGTGTTTTAAGGGCCTTGGAAACTGTAGATCAAAGTCAACGTTATTGGTCGAGGTTATCTCAGGGTCAAAAGTCAATATCTCTCTAAGGAACGTGTAGCTTATCATCCCTTATAATTTCGTATAAGATCCGGCTTCCAACAAAATATATGCAAAAGCATGATTGGTTTGGCCATGGTATGGATTTATTTTGAGAATTCATGTTTTTCCTGATAAAACGACATCTGTCCCTTACCGTAGATGACCGTTGACATCTGTGGTGTTGAGATAATAATTTTTTAAATTTAATATGTAAGAATTGTTGACAAAATTGCATGCCGAAAGACACATAGAATCAATAAGATTTCATAAAGCATTTGAGCCTGGAAAATGTTTCAAAACATCACATTTGGCTAAATGCATGGTTTCGAGGTGGCCAAGTAGGCAACACCAAGAGGGCATGGAAATTACATACTCGCATGGGACACACATTTAGGTAACTAATATTATACAACTTTTTTTTAATTTACTCTCCGGAAATCCACGTCTCTTACAACAAAAAAGAAAATCATAAGTAAGGTTGCTCTCAGTATGAAAAGCTTATAAGTTATCATTACATACCCAAACTCCTCCAACCCCGTGCACGCCAAATCCACCAACTGGGTCATCGATCTTCATCTTATCCAGTAGTATAATAGTGCCCAGCGTCAACATCCCTGCGATAATACCTATGATCAGCGCCTCCCAGGGCTTTACGATGGCACAACCCGCTACAACAAAAGGTAAATTTTGTTCATTTAGATTATTTTTTCAAGAATCATATATAAAATGTTTATCATTATCACGGCGTAATCGCCAAAGGGGCATTTTATTCCCGCTTATTAGCAGTAAATCGAGTGACTTTGGAAATGAGTGAATTTGTAAGGTTTTGGCGAGGAATGTAGAAGACGAACAAGAAACGTCGCCATAATCGAAGACGTCAATGCGTACATACGTCATACAAAAAATGTCCATTATTATCACGGCGTACTCGCCAAAGGGAGCATTTCTATTAATCGAGCGACTTGGGAAATGAGTGGAATTTGTAAAATCTAAAGGAATGCATAAGACGAACAAGAAACGTCGCCATAATCGAACACGTCACTGCGTACGTGGTAGCATAAATATGAACTCACGCGTAACCTTGAACCCTAATTTTTTATTTATCATTTATTCAATAACACTTAACGTACCCGTTATTCCAACCAGTGCGCCCAGAACAGAGTTCACAAGGTCACCAATCTGCAGCTTTCCCTTTGTTCGTATTTGACTAAAATGGATAAAACGCATTGATGACAAAATTAAATAACTGATACTCAATAATAACATAGGTAAAAGGTTTCATGTTTTAAGATGAATCATACACACTTGAGAGAATTCACAACTCACTTATAGCATGTTTGTTATTTCAGTGCAACGTACACTTACGAAGCGTTTGACTACGTCATCATTTGATAGCTAATACTTATCAAAGTTTAAGTAAGAATCAATAGGGAGCTTAAGCTTGCAATGTTTTTCACAACCTAAACGTGAACGTAAAATATTTAAGAGATGCATTTGTATGGGCGATTGGTCATACGTAAAGGTTGGCGTTTTGATTTTATATACAAGCTTAAACTCCCTAATATTACACGTATAGACGTATAGTGCTGCGCAATAAATTATAACGTAATCAAACGCTTCATAAGTTATACGTTATACGGGAATAATAAATTCATGCTATGTGAGTTGCGAAACCTCTCTATTATTGTAGAATATACATACAAATAAGAAAAAGATTATCCCTTTCATTGATTATCAGAAATAATTATTATAATAACGTGTTTGGTATCAAACAGTGTTACCTCTATAATGTATGTAAATGTGTTACATAATTCAAGCTTTCAATCGCCACCTAGATGTCATAACTCTATCAGTATTAATTAAACTTAAGGATTCACTATTGGTATTAATCAAACTCAAGGATTCACGATTAGTATTAATCAAACTTAAGGATTCACCATTTGTATTAATTAAACTTAAGGATTCACTATAAGTATTAATTAAACTTAAGAATTATCTATTAGTAAATTATCTATTAGTATTAATTAAACTTTAGGATTCACTATTAGTATTAATTAAACTTAAGGATTCACGATTAGTATTAATTAAACTTAAGGAGGATTCACTATTAGTATTAATTAAACTTAAGGATTCACTATTAGTATTAATTAAACTTAAGGATTCACGATTAGTATTAATCAAACTTAAGGATTAACTATGGAATCGCAGGCATATATACTGTTTATGGTGAATCCACAAGAAAACATTACAACTTATTCAGATAATTAATATCAAATATACTATTCTACAAATTGACGACAAATTAGAATATGGAATTGATTTAGTTGTTCCTTTTTCTTAGAGTAGATAATCAGTACTATGAATCTAACTCCTATGATGTAAATTTATTTTTAATTGATTGCCCTCAGTCAATATTTGTTCAAGTGAAATTTAGAATGTTTTTAAATGAAATCTTTAATTGTATTTTAAGTGGAAAAATTCTAAGCGTTACTTTAGAATCATGTATTTCTCGGTATGTCAATCGATGAATAAAGAAGTTAAAGCCACACTGAATTTTGATATAAATAAAAATTAGTCGTACAATATAGTTTCAAGTACATGTTATTAATTTATTTACGAAAAATAGTTACGATAGACTACTAGAATATAGGAAGTTTACCACCCTTTATTCTTAAATTGAACAATATAATTGAATGATGTCATCACGTCAGTTATGGACTTAACTTACGTCAGTTTAATGCTAATATTTAAACTTGCATCACCTGTATGTACAGCCAGCAAATCCACCTCCCATTGCAGCTATCAAGGTTGTCGCTGCAGCCCTAATATCAATATAAAACAAACTATGTAGGCATCCATAATATGTAACGAACAATCCATAAACGCACGCTGCTCGTCATAAGTTTGAGACCAGGATCACGTATCAAAGTCTGCATGATTATTCTTTGGCGATTTGAAAAACATGCCTCTCATTCACTGTTCCACAACTAGTTCCTTTACTCGTTACGTGTTTTTTGTTTTCTCGATACGTATAAGTCATGTTGCGAATTATCATTAGAATAAAGTAAGACAATATAGTCTAGCTCTTAGAAATGCTCTCGATTTGGAATTTGATTTTTCAAAAAAGCTGTAATTCATCCATTTAGACCATCGCTTTTGTTACATTGACATAATTCGTCAAAGTAACATACATCCGGTAATATAACGGACTTTCGTCAATGTAACAAAAGCGAGGGGCTAAATATATGAATTGAAACTTCATTTACAAACAAATTCCAAATCGAAGAAATTTATTAAAACTAGACTATTTTTTCTAGCTTTGTGTCAAATTATAATCTGCAATTTGACTTATAGAGAAATCAAGAAACTCGTATACAGGAAGTTCATTCATTTTGTTACATTGACGTTCCGTCAAAGTTACTAGTTGTGGAACAGTGTTATTTGTAACACATTTTCGAACTATTATAATCAAGAAACCACATTAAGATTCAAACATGGTAAGTCTTTGATATGGTGTCAAATGAAAACGTCTAGATGCCAAACTTATTATTACGAGTGTTAGTTGCACATTAAATATCTACCTTTAAATATCAAAATAAACAGTGACTTTAATTCAATAAATACAGAATATCACATCATTTTGAGTGATATCATTTTTATCGCCGAGTTGATATCAAACATCAACACGAGTGAGCGAAGCGAATGAGTGTTGATATTTGATATCTACGAGGCGATAAAATGATACCACGAGAAATTATGTGATATTGGGTTTATCCCATGATTACGATCACCTTGTGATATAGTTCGTCATAAATACAATTTTTTAATCGTTATTTAGCAGCCTTCTAATCAAATTATATACACAATCGTAATTTAATACACCAATGAAACTTAAAGAGAATAAATTAACGGACCTTTTTTCTCAAAAGAGAATAAATTATCTGACCTAATTTCCAACAATATTGTAGCGCGAAATGCAAATGTGATATCACACGGATATGCGTGAGATAAACGATATCACACGCATATGAGTTTGATAAACGATTTTTGGAAAATATCACACGGATTTCAATGATATCAGAAATATCAATAGCTGTTATTGTACAGATAACACATTAATCGTGGGATAATATATGTTAAAGGCCCCATACAAAGTTTGAAAATACGTTTTTAGTTATTTACTACGTTTCACGACTATAAGTTATTTTAGAGATTCAAACAACAAACTTCTGAAAAAAGTTATCTTGTCTGTGGCAAACAGTTTGTGAAAAAATCAATCTTTTCTAAATATGTTAAACTTAAAAAATGAAACAAGGTTGAATGTCTAACTATGTTGACAAGAAGAATGTATTATGTTTCAAATATTACTGTGCAATTGGTTTCCATGAAAAGTAAACTTTTAGATGCATTTTTCTCTTAACCCGTTAACCGCTTCCATGCATGGATGAAAACATTTCTGCTTATTTATAAATCAAACAGATTGTCTTCATTTTTCGACAAAAAATGTAAGGATGATGCTGTGAAGTGGCCGGTGTGGAGTATTTCTTATTAAAAGATTCGTGCGACCTCTAAAATTTAGTTTTAAATAAATTCACGATCTTTCGATAAAAACTCAAAATAAACTTTTGAAATTAAGAAAAGAGTTTCACACGTCACCTTTGACAACATTGGGTAAGACTATAATATAAGCAAAAAAATGGTAATGGTCTTAACCGGGTCTTATTGGGCCTTCAAATGGATTTTTGTTCTATAAATTAAGCATATACTGTATTTATATTCTATTTCGGATATGTCGCAATGGTTGCCTTGACAAAGCAGTAATCTAATATGAAACACTCTTGTTTAACACCGACTATCAATATTTGGTAAAAGTCACAAATATTTAATTGTTCACCTAATATTTACCTAATATCTAGTGGTCACTAATACACACTTCGTATCGAAGAACGCATCATTTTATTGACAGTGATTCAAGGAAACATGGCGATAGCATTCTTGACTCCATTTGTGTTTGTCATCTATTGGTTTTATTAGATTGGCATACGATTGCATTGTATAGGTAGTTACTAATTCAAGATTGAAATTAGCTTGAGCCGATCACGCCTCAATTTGCGTGTAATTATGGCATTGTTTAATTCCCTGATAGTTCGTTGGGAAAACTTTTTAAAGTACCATTATGTATTAGCTCTTAACTGAAGTTATTTGCCATCAGAATTACTGAATTTTCAGTACTTGTTTCCAATATTCGACGAGTAGTGGTAGTATTGCATCCCGGATTTGCATCTTGTGATATCGACTAAAAATGCGAAATACTCACTTTGCCGCCAATTTCCATTTCCCGCCAGAAATACCAAACGTACTTCCGCAGTTGAAAGACAGCCAGCCCCACCTATAAGGTAACAATCTTGAACAGTTAGCAATAAACGTTGCCATAATCAAACGCTTGACTACGCACTGTAACGATATTTAGCAATTCAATCAGCATCTTGCACACATTGTATCTACTATTTAAAAGGTATACCAGAAAAAGTTGCATTTTACAAAATAAGTGCTCGAACTTGCATACCATAATATGAACATTCCAAGTATAGAATTTGTACCGTTGCCGATAGGTGGCTCATCATCAATGTTGTCATAGCGACCAATTCTTGGTTTTAATAGAATAGTTGCTACTAGTCCTGAAACTGCTCCAAGAAGGTGGACGGCCCCAGATCCTGCGATATCTATTACCCCCAATTCTGAGAGAAAGCCATTACTTCCCCATACCCAATGAGCAGGAACGCAGTAAACAAGGGTGTTAAAGAAGGAAAATAGACTATAGGAAAACAGTTTAGTCCGCTCAGCCATCATCCCACTTGCGATTGTCGTAGCGGTTGTCGCAAAAGACAATTGGAAAACAAATGTTGCAAATAGGATGCCCAATTCATTGGGATCTGATGAATCCACGAAAAAATATCCAATGCCGATGAATGGATTGGAACCTGAGTCCTCGCCAAAGCTAAAGGCGTATCCAAAGGTCCAGTACGAAAGACCACCGTATATGACATCGACGGCGTTCTTTACCATGATGTTGACTTCGTTTTTCAGCGACACAGCTCCGGCTTCGAGCATCCCAAACCCTGGAAATTATAAGGGAAACAATTAAAAGTTATTTTAGTTAAAATAAAGCCCCTTATCATGGTCATCATACGACGATACCAGGATATTTGACAATTTAAAAGGGTGCATGAGAGGCTCAATCTGAGATCGTAAATGTCAACTCTACAATTTTCGAAACGGATCTTTTCTACAAAAAAGTTTAAAAAGGAGATGGGGACTTCAAACCAGCTAATCGTATGATAAATATGCAGATTTTTTCACAAGTTCTAAATAACTTAGCAATTTGCTGACCATGAATCTTTTCAAAGACCTTAGAATTGAGATGGCAAAGGACAGATTAGTTTTACCTTTTTTCTTATCACGAAATTCTGTTAGGCCATCTTGTATAGAGAGGTACAAGTAGCTAATGTGAACTAAGTGCGCCAACCGCGTAATGAATTCTGACGATTTCAGAATAGATTGTTGCGTCCCATATCGAACCCTCTGTATTACCGCATTGTCAATCCAGCCATTTTTGTTGAAGCTTTAATGATTGTATACTAAGCTATTGCTCCACTTATAGAGCGATTTGAAATACCCACATGGGAGGATAATTCTTCATCCCAGGATATACATGATATAATAGGACTATAATGGGAAGGCGATTGTGTGACTCGACATATAACAAAGAAAACATAACAATCTGTCATTTCCCTCAGTCTTAATGGAATTCGCATCAATTAAACGTATGTATAGCATCGGCTCCACGGACACCCTTACATATTTTCTGTTAAGCGTTTGGAATGTGGAATCCCTTTACAAATCAAATATTTGTCCCGGGTAATATTTTTTCTCTCGTTTCGGTATTCTTCATTTTAACTTTTCCCATTTTTGTATGATAGAAGATCGGAACATATTTTAACCCATAACAGAATATTAATTCGTAACGGCCTATGACTACCTGTACACTGTACAATATTAATATATTAATATACACGAACGTGTTAATGATTTAACGACTGCTTCAAAAGTGGTATTACATGATAAAATAAACTCTTCGACTAATTATATCAATACAAGAGAGCTGTAAAGGTTTTCCATATGAGGAACGTTTAACAGAAAATGTGCAAAGCTTTTCCCCGGAGGCGACGCTATGCATACGTTTGATTTCTGGGAATTTCCCCTACGTGCAATCACATAACATTAGCGACGTTATAGCTACACGTTTTAAAAGAACAACGTGAACGAGTTGAATTAAATACGGTCCTCCTGTATCCCGTTATATACTTTTCCCGATTGAGTAATGAACATAGTTGTAATTGCTCCCTACAACCAATTGAGAGGGTGTCAGTAATCCCCTGGGGGGTAGGTCTATTACACGTTCACGTAAACTTTCTCTTAAAACGTTTAGTTTAACCTCTCTTATTCATTCATGGATACATGTCAGTCTACATTAACAATATAGTGCAGATGTATTTAGAGATACCGAATTTTTAAAGGGTTGGACAGTGTATTGAGATTTAGATCCAAGTGAGTTTTATTATATCGACAAGCAAAGGTAATTCTTTGTAGCTATTAGGGAGGAAAGTTGCACGTTTTTAAGAGAACTTGAACGCGAGCGTGTAAGACTTCGACCCCGGGGATTATTATTCAGCTCTCAATTCACTTTTCCAGCCAGGGACCTAATTACAATTATTTTACGTATATACTTTTACTCAATTGGCCAAGTAAACAGTACAAATGGGAGAACTAATATATATGACTATAGTTCAACGCGTTCACGTACAGATTTGTTATACAAGTATCTTAACCTCCCTATTTATTTGACTTACATTTTCTCAAATATTACCATGGAAAAATTACCTGTTTGCATTGTAAATATGATGAAGGAATTTGTTAATATCCACGTAGCGTCATCCCACGTCACTCCAACGGGGAGGGCTGTTGAATTTCCCGATGTCGTCACATAGTACGCCGGTGTCGTCATTTTCACTTCTTGATGGGTCCCTTATAAAAAGTTATGAGGCGGAAGTCTTAAAACTGGTATCCTATCTATATTCCGGTAACCATAGACATAATCTATGTAAAAATGCTTGCATATATCCGGATCTTTGTTTCTAATTAAATCATTGTTGATATTGAAGGTGGTTTGTCTCCAGGGAATATACTCCGGCGTAAACGGCTGTTGTTTCGTAGTTAACTGTGGTAGTTTGTAAGCAAAAGTTAACTCCAAAGTACCGCTGATAGCTATCGATTGTTTGAATAGCCAGTTTCTGATGTACAGAAAATATTAGCGAATCTCCCCGACATTAAATTTCCGTTGGTGCGTTATGCAATTATTGCAAATTAGCGAAAAGGGGAATGACCGCCTATTATCTCTACATTTAGAAATTAGTTCCCGGTAAAAACTATGAATATTTTAAAAACAATTTCAGTGCGTAATGACCGATTCTATCTCTTCTCGGAGTAGACTATCAACATTTATCAAATATCGATTTATTGATCCACGGTTAGGTGTCATGATCTAATTCATTAAATAGCACTATCTCACGCGGCCTCCACCCTGATGGCACGACTTTTGGACGTGGTGATGTAACGGAAATAGAACTATTTTCTATTGCGCAATGCGACTATTTCAATTAATAAATAATGCACTCAGTATATTTGTGTATAGTAAAGTTGATACGACTAGTAAATAATAATTTAGTTTGCAGTGTTTGACACATACCAAAATTGGCAAATAAAATAATTGGATTCGTATATCTATTGTTTCGAGTTATTGTAAGGACTACTTAGCCTTACATAGAGAAGAGTAAACTGTATTCTATTAATTAAATAGTCAATACATATGTCAATAACCAGACATTTAATGTGGCAAAGATGATACCTTCCCATTTGAAGTTTGAATTATTTCAAGACTAATCTGTGTTCAAAAGATTTTCAAACCATATGAAGTCCATGTTGCAATTCGAACAGAAAAAATAAAAACGATTTGAGTTGAATTATTCATTAATTAAAATATATAACGAGGCGTACTTCCCAATTCCCATTACAGAACTTCATCTTCGAAAATCGCTGCATTGCTCATTAGTATTAGTGAATAAAACCCATGAAATCTGGCTAATTGAATAATGATTCTTCCGCTGTCCACCGTGTAATAAATCTATTAGGAAATATATAATATGATTAATTAAGATTTTATAGATAGATGACCAAAAAGTTATGCAAATACCCACAATACACTCAACTCCATAAGTTTAGCACAATGGACTTTTTATTGGATAATATCAAATCGTCAATTTTCTTATCATGATTTGGTAAGGATTTATGCCCTGGATTGGCAATGTTGAATGATCATTCCTTGAAAGTGTTGCTTTCCCAAAATTTGCACGAGATGCCGAGCAACGAGTGTTAATTTCAGGAAAACAACGCCTAAAAGGAATGGTTATTACTCAATGCGAGTCTTGAGCTTAAATTCTGTTCACACATTGCAAAATATTTTCTACAGAATCGTCTAAAAGATTCGAATCACTAAAAGAACATATTTCCAATGAAACTTTTTGCAAGAGTCAGTTGTCAAGTTATCAATTTCAATCTGAGGAGTCCAGTCATCACCTTGAAAACCGCTTAAATAGTGACCTTGAGTTGGTTATTGATTGTATAATGGAATGCAGTTATGTGGAATAGGCTCTTCGGATTGACTGGAATCGACATACCTTGCCTATCTACAGTATATGCGGATCCTTAATTACAGAAGATAAGACAAAAATGATGATTTATATATGTAAACAGATGTTCATTACGGCAAGTTTCGTGCAGAAGCAAGATTGCCATTACCATGTGCATCCGCTGGTTCATTTTGACAAAAACAAGTCAACAATGACAATCAGGTGCTTTGTGGATGTTATCCAGTTAATATTGAGTACATCCAGGAGCTGACGTCTGTGTCAATAACCACGAACTTATGGGAAAATCCGCGTAATTAAAATGTTGATTAATGAAAATCTCAATTTATATTCATTCTGTAGGCCCCAATTATTTTTCGGGGCCCACCCTAGGGGAGGGGCTTTTGCCCAGCGCATTGTCCGCCAGTGAGACACACGCACAATCCATAAAAACGATTCTCTCAATTTCAAGAAGACAAATAAATAATTTATTTGCACGTTCGATAGCTTATTATAGATTAGTTAATTTGGAATGTTTATTAAAAGAAATTGACACTTATCGTATCATAAATACATACGTGAGGCGATCAAGAAGTTGTCATAACACCTCTGCAATATTTTTATTTCTTTATATTTTTTATACAATTTCACAGGATGTTTACAGTGTACATAATATTAGCATAAGGATTAAATACGATATTTTTGCTATAGTAACTAAAGTAATAACGTGACCCAGGGCAAAGTGCAATTTAATTACACAAAAAAGAATGGTAATAAAAATCATGCCAAATAACGAAAGTCAATGTCTGAGACTTTAAATAATTTGAAACCAATTTATGGTGAAAAATCAACGAAAGCAAGAATCTACGCATGGTATGCTCAAGCAATTTGTGACTTTAGTGTATTTGAGTCTAGAAACAGCAATGCATTTTAAGGGCGGGTGGGGGGGGGGGGGCTCAAATGTAAGTACTGCTTTAAGGGGATGGGTTTTCCCAAATTCTTAATTTGTGAATCAATAATTAAGAAATCTGGCAAGATTTGGGTAAAAACTACCCTTAGAATTTGTCCCGGTGGTGTAGAATAAATAAATATATGATCTAATATAATTTAATAAATATATTTAATTAAAATATATTTAATTTAAATATATTCAATTTAAATATATTTAATTTTCAGTTTTGATTAAATGAGAATAAATAGCTACATAAACATTTGCTTTACATTCGATCAACCCATTTTGTATTTTGTAAATGCTATTTCGATGGAAAATTACGTTGGTTATTCGAGCCCCATATCTAGCTTTTGCCAATAAAGGGGGTGGGTGTTAACACTTCGAAAAACTACAAGGGGACTCACATTTGACAATTTTGGTCAAAAATTATGTACTTTGCATGGTGAAAAACTGCATTGATTAGAATTTACACATGGCTAGGTAAGGTGTGTCCGATTCCAGCCAATATGAACACAGTATTTATACATAACAGCAGTGCATGAAATCATCAATAATGCATTTGAAGTATATGGTTGTTAAGGTGATGCGATTGCAACTGATGTTATACTTGACCCTCTGCAAAAGGTTTCATTGAAAATATTTTTCTTTTAGTGATATTCCATCTTTTAGGTTAAGTCCAAGACTCGATGCATTGTAGCTGCTTCATTCCACTCAGGCTGTGTTCCCTAGAATTTTGTCATGCAAAGGTTTGAAAACAACACCTTCATGGTATGATTCGGCAAACAATGCATTGAGTCAAGGGCTTAAATCCTTAAATATTTTTTGGTCAGGGAGTTCGTTACGAACCTGAATTTCTGATGTAAATAACCGTTAAAACACGTGTTATATAATCCTTCATTCGATAGAATATGTTCAGTGCCGTCTGTGATAAAATGAAACTATTTTTTATTTTACAAATATCAGCTACTGGGTTCTGATTATTAAAGTCACTTGTATTTTTGTGTTTAAAAAGAGGGCGTGGCTAAGTTGGAAAAATATTTAAAATCTTCGAGAATGTCAATGTCTCTAAATGAATGGCATAGGCACCCATGTCTCATGCCCATATACTGAGGTTCTAGGTTCATATCGTGCGGAACAATAAATGGAGTATTAGCTAAGGACTGAAGGGGCGATGTGTGTATATATCCGAGGAAATTAGAAATATAGTTTATATAGGAGGGGGATACTAGACATTGTTTCTTTTCACGTGTGATCATGGTTTTGGGATAATATGTCATACTAGGGTTTATTTTTCTTATGACAGATTTACGCTTACTGTTTGCTTTTCTTGATGGGTTTCTTTAAAGTTTTTAGTCACCCTTCCCTTTGGCTTTTGCGCTTATATATTTATGTAATTGAGTTATGTTAGAGGCCTCCTGGTCATCTCAACCCCAAGTCAACTCAGCCTAGTAAAACTCAACCCCAAGTCAACTCAGCCTAGTAAAACTCAACCCCAAGTCAAGTCAACCCCAGTGAAACTAAACCCTAAGTTAACTCAACCCTGTAAAACTCAACCCTATATTTAATATATTGATAAACTTACAGTATATTCCAAATAATATGAAAGTTTATTTCATAAAAATACGAGTAGTTCTAATAATTATGAGTCAGTTTGTGATTTCCATTCTTAGACCACTGCCTTTTTAGATAGTTAATAATGAGTTTATCTCCAAAATGTCAACATGGTACTAATATGATTAAAATATGGGTCATTTTATTAATCTTGCTTATACATTTGTTTTGTTGTAATCCCTCTGAGGTTGACAAAAAGTTATATTACATTGTTAATTATTTCTAAATTATCTAAAATTTGATTTAAAAAAATGTCTTAAATTAAATAATAGTGACAACTTGATGAATTATCCCTTAGCTTAACTGTTTTTTTTAAATATTATAACAACTTTCTATTCAAAGTATCATGCAAAATGCTAAATTTTCAGAAATGATTGACTTAAATTACTCATCAAAAAATTAAATTAGACATTGCACAAATGAATAGGGTTGAGTTTTACTGGGGTTGAGTTTTACAGGGTTGAGTTAACTTGGGGTTGAGATTTACCGGGGTTGACTTGGCTTGGTGTTGACTTGACTTGGTGTTGAGTTGGACTGGGTTGAGATGACTTGGGGTTGAGATGACTTGTCACCTGTTAGGGTCTACAACTTTTTTTGTGGGCGGTGTTCAGCGTTCGGCGGTTGAATTGCTCTTAATTCGGCGAAGAATTTAAAGTCACTCGGTCTCCAAAGATTATCGCTTGTGTTGTGAATGTATGATAATGGCGATCTCTATGAAGCTGTCACATTTAGGCTGCATGACGTCACCGTTCGCCACCGTGTGAATACGGGGGAGGGGTGCACGGTATGGATACACGTTGGACAAAACAGTAAGATATCACACCAGGCACAAAAATAATCAATGAAAAGAAAGATGCCCTAACTTAGCCACACGGTGGCGAACGTTGAGCCCCAACAGCTAATTTGACATCTATTATAACGCATAATCGATCTTAAAACTATACTCGAGAACAGGTTCTGTTGACGAATAAACATTTGTGGTACTCAGGACATTATACTTATAAAACACAAACATACAGCTGATATTCCTATTACTTAAACAAGCCATGTCTATAACACCCCGAGACCAAATATGTATGTAATGTACAAATAGCTATTTATTGGGAGATAATGAGCTGTATAAAAGATCATGATCGATGGGGTAAGTACAATGGCTAAGTATAACAAAAAAGTTATGATATTAAACATGCAATAAAAAGTAATATTAACACCTAATAAACACCCACATTATCGGAATGTCTGGTTGTTCATGTCTCGTGAAACACAATTTATTTAAAATGGTTATATATATTTTGCAATTGACTTCAAGAGACCAAGTGGGCGAGTCGATTATTTTGCAGGGGTGGCAGGATACACATATACCAATTATGTATAAAGTGAATTCCCTGAGTCAGTGATTTCAGTACAGTAAAACGGTCATAATGAACACCTCTTTAGTGTAGATCTGTGCCCAAAGAACACATGAGTCTATTCTACGGAACACCTGTGAATAGTGAACACTGATTCCCAGCCAGTGATTTCAGTACAGTAAAACTGTCATAATGAACTCCTCCTTAGTGAAGATATGTGCCAAAAGAACACACGAGTCTACTCTATTGAACACATGTGTATAGTGAACATCGATTCCCAGCCAGTGATTTCAGTACAGTAAAACTATTATAATGAAAGCCACTTTAGTGAAGATCTGTGCCCAGTGAACACATTACTCTATTCTATTGAACACCTGTGTATAGTGAACACCAATTCCCAGCCAGTGATTTCTGTACAGTGACACTGTCATAATGAACTCCTCTTTAGTGAAGATCTGTGCCCAGTGAACACATGCGTCTACTCTATTGAACACATGTGTATAGTGAACACCAATTCCCAGCCAGTGATTCAGTACAGTGACACTGTCACAATGAATGCCACTTTAGTGAAGATATCTGCCCAGTGAACACATGAGTCTACTCTATTGAATACATGTGTATAGTGAACACCGATTCCCAGCCAGTGATTTCAGTACTGTAAAACTATCATAATGAACTCCTCTTTAGTGAAGATATGTGTCCAGTGAACACATGGGTCTACTCTATTGAACACATGTGTATGGTGAACACCGATTCCCAGCCAGTGATTTCAGTACTGTAAAACTATCATAATGAACTCCTCTTTAGTGAAGATATGTGCCCAGTGAACACATGGGTCTACTCTATTGAACACATGTGTATGGTGAACACCGATTCCCAGCCAGTGATTTCAGTACAGTATAACTATTATAATGAAAGCCACTTTAGTGAAGATCTGTGCCCAGTTAACACATTACTCTATTCTATTGAACACCTGTGTATAGTGAACACCAATTCTCAGCCAGTGATTTCAGTACAGTATAACTATTATAATGAAAGCCACTTTAGTGAAGATCTGTGCCCAGTTAACACATTACTCTATTCTATTGAACACCTGTGTATAGTGAACACCAATTCCCAGCCAGTGATTTCAGTACAGTATAACTATTATAATGAAAGCCACTTTAGTGAAGATCTGTGCCCAGTTAACACATTACTCTATTCTATTGAACACCTGTGTATAGTGAACACCAATTCTCAGCCAGTGATTTCAGTACAGTATAACTATTATAATGAAAGCCACTTTAGTGAAGATCTGTGCCCAGTTAACACATTACTCTATTCTATTGAACACCTGTGTATAGTGAACACCAATTCTCAGCCAGTGATTTCAGTACAGTATAACTATTATAATGAAAGCCACTTTAGTGAAGATCTGTGCCCAGTTAACACATTACTCTATTCTATTGAACACCTGTGTATAGTGAACACCAATTCCCAGCCAGTGATTTCAGTACAGTGACACTGTCATTATGACCTCCTCTTTAGTGAAGATATGTGCCCAGTGAACACATGAGTCTACTCTATTGAACACATGTGTATAGTGAACACTGATTCCCAGCCAGTGATTTCAGTACAGTTAAAACTATCATAATGAACGATTCTTTGATGATCTGTACCCAGTGAATACATGAGTGTACTCTATTGGACACCTGTGTTTAGTAAAGAGTCACTCATTCCCAACCAGTGACTTCAAAGCAGTAACACCTGCCATATTGAACACATCTCTTTTAGGGAATATCGGTGGCTAGTGAATACATGCGTCTTCTCTATTGGATATCTGTGTATGGTGAACACCCATTCCCAGCCAGTGCTTTCAATACAATAAGACCTGTCATAATGAAGACTGGTGCCTAGTGAACATCTGGGTCTACTCAAGTAGACACCTGTTTATAGTGAACACGTATACAGTAGACACCTGTTTATAGTGAACACGTATACAGGCAAATGCTGCTAGTCTTGAGTAGATTCAGGTTTTCACCAGACACAGGTCTTCACCAGAGAGAGAAGTGTTCATTATAACCAGTTTCACTGCACTTAAACCACTATATAGTGTGAAAGGAGCATTTAACAGTACAGTATTAATCCTTTGAATACACTTAACATATTTTTAGAAAGGTGGCCACTACCCTGTTTTCTACACTTTTTCAGAACCTCTATTGGAATGTATGCATCCTGCCACCCTTGCAAAATAATGGACGCGCCCACTTGGTCTTTTGAAGTCACTTGCAAAATACATATAAAATTTAAAATAGATGGACTAGATAGTTAATTTTGTCAAATATATTTTATTCGAGGGGGTTATGGTAACCTTAATGCTTGTACCTATAGTTCGTGTCTGTCCTGATACTTTAAAATACATAAGTATGACGTAATTTCTTGTTTTTTACAGTATAATTATTTATTTGTCAGTAATCAAAATGTAGTGCAAATGTTTAAAATATTTTTGGGAGAGGGCGATCCCAAAGAGTCAAGCGAACCACTGTTTGTTTTATTGGGCATGATCTACATTGTTGGGTCCACAATCTCGACTGTCCCTAATGCCTTGGTCTCATTTGCTACTCAAACGATATCGGCCGGGCGCCGTAGTGAAAATCGGAGCAAATGTGACCAAGGCATCAGAATACAAGATTTAGATAGAGAAACTCTTATAAACAAGAATGCGCCATCTATATATGATCAAATGTGCGAGTTATTCTTAAATTGGATTGTTGCGTTATCTTCGGATCACCATGTATAAATCACTTTTGAGATTCTCAACGAGCTAGACTATTGCGCTGTTCCCGGGAGCAGGTTAATTGTTGAACCAGATAAACATGGCGTCTCAATTGGTTCGATTTTAGCGTCACTTATCGTCCTCTCGATTTCAGCGTCCTTTTTAAAACTAGAACGCCGATTAATCAAAATATTTTCGTTGTCTTTATTGTCTGTCGTTTTCATGGTCTCTGTGGAATTGACGAAATCCGTTTCATCCCTTTCTTTGCTCTCATTTGTAGGTAAAAAGCTAACTGTTTTGATACTCTTTGCGTCTAATTCTGTTTCGTTTTGCTTTTGCGAGTTGTCGTTTGGTTTTATACTACCACTCACTGTCCAGGTATAGCTTTTCATACTAGCTGTTGAGCCTACTTTATTGTTAAGTATATGTGTTGATCTCCTAGACTGTCTCCTTAAATTAAAATAGATCAACAACATTAACACAATGCATCAATGCATGTTCGGAATGTTCGCTGTCGTTTTTTAACTAGTCTCACAAAGTTTGGATAGCGTTTCTGAAATATCATATTACCGAAATTTAGAATTGATGATGTTCAACTGAAATAAACAGATATAGCTATTTCCTCGAATCTACTGTAGCTTTGCGCATGTTTGATTGATGATGATTGTTCACGTGATCATATCCTGCAAATTGATTGGAAGGCGTATCGGCTTATGTGCATGTTGATTGCATATTCATGATAGGCCGAAAATAGCAAAATATTATGGGAGCTATCCACTTCCTCTGTAGATAAGGCTTATATTTTAGCGCAAATCATAGTTGACCTCGGATTTTATGACATATACCCCCTCCATAAGTTCCACTTTCATTTTCTGAATTATTGTTAATAAACATGATAAACATTGCAACGAAAAAACATAAAGTTGCCAAACTTATGGAGGGGAGAGCAGCACTTACCTGCTATATAAAGTAGGTTCACTCTGTATGCGTTCACCATTGAAAAAGACTCCAGTCTGTAGTTGATGTTCGATCCCGTGTTCCACATAGTCTGACCCCAATATCTCCTCGTCTTCGGACATACGGATACCATATATTAAATGCATGGGCTGTAATTAAAAAGATCACACGTTTTAAATGTATAAGCTTGATCTGAGAAGATTCCATGTGTTAAATACCTAGGTTGAAATTGAGAAGACCACACGTTTTAAATGTATAGGCTTGAACTAAGAAGATTCCATGTGTTAAATGCATAGGGTGTAATTGAGAAGATGCTACATATTAAATGCTAACGGTGAAATTGAGAAGACCACACGTTTTAAATGTATAGGCTTGAACTAAGAAGATTCCATGTGTTAAATGCATAGGGTGAAATTGAGAAGATGCTACATATTAAATGCTAACGGTGAAATTGAGAAGACCACACGTTTTGAATGCTTAGGGTGAAATTGAGAATTTTACACGTTTTAAATGCATAAGGTGAATTTGAGAATTTTACACGTTTTGAATGCATAGGGTGAAATTGAGAAGATCACACGTTTTAAATGCATAGGGTGAAATTGAGAAGACCTCATGCTTTTAAATGCATCGACTGGAAGTGAGAAGATTCCACGTGTAAATGCATCGACTGGAATTCGACACGTGTTAAATGTACAGTGAATAACGAAACAAATATTTAAGGTACATGCAATCGGAAATGTGCATGTAGGGTAGGTCGGTTGAGTGAGAACACGGACAGAAAACGCTGAGAACACTGGCAAATTATGGCGAGAACACGGATGATGAGTGGTGAGAACACTGGCAAAGTATCGCGTAAACACGAACAGACCATAACGAGTCCTTTGACAAAATATTGCAAGAACACGGGCAGATTATACTGAGAACCTATGAAAGTATTGCCTGATGAACACGGGCAGAGCACCCCGGAAACACGTGTAGAGTACAGCGGGAACTATGAGATAGCACGAGGTATCTAGTATGCTCAATAAACAAAACACAATGCAAGCATTACCTATATCAGGTAACCAATCATCCCAGACACTTTCGATTTATCTGGGAGTGTTATCGATAACATACCAGGGTTTCTAAGCTTTGGAATACATATTTGATTTTTGTTTATATTTAAGATGGACGTGATCCTTCGACTAAAATAAAATCATATATTTGTTCTATTTGAATTTCACATACGGTGTTCAAAACATGTAAAGTGGAACACTTCTAGAAGCGAAAAATTTCTGTTACTTGAACGCTTTGGAGACCCGAGATCAACTGATTTCATGATAAATGAACATCTATAGGTGGGGACACCTCCTAAGTTGAACACTTTTAAAGGTACCAAATGCATTCCACATTGAAAGGTTTTACTGTATTTATTATTAAAACATCCACGAGATTGAATGAGTGACAATTTCTCACTTTCTATGGTTGTATTATTGACCAATACTAATAGTCATGATGGAAATAACATTACCATGCACGCAGAGCGATTAGGAAGGCGAAGCTCTATTTTAAGAGGCGAAGTCGAACGAATGCAAAGGGCAAAGGAAGATACATATTGCAATTGTTAATGAAAAATCGAGTAAACTTGGGCTATGTATCAGATTTATAATCATCATCAGCCACAGGTAACCATTCAAAATTATAGATTCTTCATTTATTTCAGATAATGTATATATTCCACCAAGTTTTAGGAACCTTCACCTTAACACTAGACAAAATATTCAAGGCTGGGAAATTAATTTCTTATTTTCTCCACTTTTCCAAGACATAAACATTTGTTCGCAAATCTGTGGATTTTCTTGAACATTTGACACCAGCACACGTTTTTGCGGAAAGCGAAGAGACACCGCGGTATATCAAAATCCAACGGAGTTTCAACTTTTTTTAGCATGATATCTATAAAAATGTGGAGATTCTGCAATCTGTTAACAACTCGTGAAATGAGGAAAGAGAAAAACGTACCTTCTGTATGTATGTATGTATGTATTATTTATTTGCGTCTAGAATAAGACAGTTACATGCACGTGTTATACAATAATTATAGAAAATGAAATAAAGAAAGTAAAATAGTAACAGAGAACATGATTTCAAATCAATCAAATTTCTAGTCCGACATTTTGTTTCGGTAATTAGTTTGAAAATGTCAGTACCAGTGCTTATAGTAGCTTAAGTCTCGATTAATTAAGTACTATACGATGCAGATTCCCTTATTTTCTCATGTTTGAACACCTGTCGAGTGTCGATGAAAAAAGACCTCAAATCCATGAAATTATAAACAAATTGTTTCAGAAAAAATGTTGAACAATATTTATCTACTCAACTAGAAATAATCAATTATGCACACCAGGGAGAGTACCGATGCATAATAAACCGAATGTTTTATATCACGAAGATTACCGAAGATGTTTCAAGATACCAATAACATCCTTTTTAGTTAGTAGATATTCAGCCATCTTCGGTGCTATCCAAAGCTATATATTTGCCCATGTTTATGTCACGAAGATGGCCGAAGATTGCCGAAGATACTCTTAGGAACCAATCAAATATCTTGAAGGATTAGAAGTAAATTTTCGGCCGCCTTAGGTTGCGATCTGAAACTATATACTTGCCCATGCGCACCTAGCTCTTTTATATAAGACCCTAGTAAACTCCATATCAGGGATAGACTATTTTTCATGTAAGATAATGATGAAACTTTACCAAAACACATATAATCAGGGATAGACTATTTTTCATGTAAATAATGATGAAATTTTACCCAAACACACATTAATTTGTATTCTAGTCGGTAATAAAAATGGAAACCTCATCAACTGAAGATTTAGTACTTTCTTTTTAAGCTTATTTGCTTTGAAATCTGAATAAGTTACGAAAAGCAATACTGTGTATAGTAAAAGCACTGTTACACAGCTGGATGACTCTAACTGCAGTTAGCTTCATTCAAAATGGTTGCCAAAATTCTTTCGTTTTCGATAAACCTCCGATTTCAGCTAAACTAAGTTTAATCTGGATTCCAAATGTTTCGCCATTTAAATTGATAAAGCTACGATGGTAAATAACCACAAATTAATGCTCAAACAACCGCGATACTGGAGAATTTAAAATTAAATGGTTTCATTTAGAATGACTCTAAATGAAGTTGATGATGACGTAATGATGACGTAGATCATCAACTTCAGTTAGAGTCATTCTAAGTGAAGCTGTTTTCTTTAAAATTCTCTAATATTGTGGGTATTTGGGCATCCATTTGTGGTTGAATACAATCGTAGTTTTATTAATTTGCATGACGAAACTTTTGGAATCAAGATTCAGCTTTGTTTAGCTGAAATCAGAGCTTTATCGAAAACGAAAGAATCTCTGCAACCATCTTGAATGAAGCTTACTGCAGTTAGAGTCAACCAGCTGTGGAACAGTGACAAGGTTCCACTATTTGGAGATAAGTGTATGTCAGTCACATATTACGCAATTAATAGAACTTATGCCTCAGTCACATTTGATCTGCGGCCACCGTACGTCAGCCGTAGCTTCCCAAAAGAGATACACAGCATAAAATATAGAGATAAGCAAAACCGTGTAGATTTTCAATATCAGTTTTGTGAAGCTACGGCCGCCGTAGAGCAATTGTGACAGAGGCTTCATGATCAGTTTATAGCGTATTTAAATGTTTTACTTTAATACCTTCATTTGTGTCTCAGTTAAAAACAGAAATGACTAGTAGGCTAAGAGTCGACAGTGAATACACCTTTTCACATCCCATGCACCTTTTGGCGTTTGGAGGAGAGGGTCATTATGAAGCACCGTGTATTACGGGGAAGATAATCTCTCGGAGAATTATTCCATTAACAACATTGTTAAGCCTCAGTCAAGTTTGCTCTACGGCGGCCGTATGGCGACCGTAGCTTTACAAAGTCGATAATAGAAAATCTACATCGAGCTGCTTATCCCTATATTTTTGTTGCATGTTTCTCTCTATCGTAGGAAACTACGGTCGCCGTATGGTTGTCTTAGATCAAATGTGACTGAGGCATCAACATTAGCACTACATATACTTACAAGTAAAATTAAAAGTGTCATACATGCCGACCAAATTGTGATACAGACACACGCTAGTAGCTGCACCCCAAGTAGGTAAAATCCACCTCCCCTGAAGAGCCCATTTTGACCTTTACTCATGTTTTCAATTGGATCATACGATGCGAACAAGCCAACCGATATCATCCCCTGAAAATCAAACTATCGATTAATAATATATCAAGTATATAGAAGGTTGTGGGCATATGGATGACAAAATCACAAAAGAAATTATCCGGAATTAGGCTGAGATGTAAGAGTGCAATTTATGTATTGAGATAAACTAACCTTGTAAAGGATGAAAGTCAATATTTTGTCATGATACTACTGGCGATCCATTATTGTAATAAAACGAATGGATTATTACTGACAATAAATAATCACATCAACAGTGATAGCCTGTATATGTTGTTGTCTTTAAGTATTGTTCTTCTAATTTTAGATTTCAAAGCGCGTGTATCCCTTTTTATAACATGGTCAGAGCAATATCAGGCATATAATAGCGAGTGATGAATCGCGTATCTGAGATAGAATTAGAGATATGATATCAGGGATGATATGAACATTTTTTTCTTTCTTTTAAATTCTTTATTATTCAATTATTTATTATATTTTTTCAAAACTTTTGAATTTTTTCTCTCATTCAACAGGGAATTTTAGGTATATATTTCTCTTAACCATGGTATGAGGTCGTTATTCGGGATGACATCAAGAATATCCCTCGGATTATGTCAATATTCTCCTCCTGTCACTGCTTTCCCTCTAAAAATATTGTGATATTCCCAATATCAAATCCCTCCTGGTGAATAACTTCTTTATACATGGTTAATAATCGCGGTCGCAGGCTGTGTCTAAGGCATTGTAGGCTAACTTCAAAAAATTAAGTATGACTAAAATAAAATAGGTTATTTTACTTGTATATACTGTAGGACACACTTTCTAGTCCTGGGTTTGGTAATAATCGACTTCATTCTAAATGTGGTATATCTGACTCCCAGGCCAAAGTGTAAACCGATATAGTATTGTATTGTATATATAACCTAGATCTTTGTACAAGAGAGAAATGTAAATAAATCCAAAAGGTAGTCAATGTCAAAATACAAAAAGTTGTGTTTTAGCAGAAGAATTACATAAATAAAATTGTAAACTGATGCTCTTAGTGCAATTAACGCCCATTAATCATACGTGCCCCCATGAAGTAAAAACCAAATTTAATTGTTTTTCTAAATGGCCTATTTAATTTTCTTGTATTCATATACAGACAAGAGTATACATTACAAACCAGTATACAATTAATTTATTTCCCATTACATTTGTTTTTATAATATTCCTCATTTTAACAGAGTACAATGTACATATGACATACTTTTTCAGGGTATATTTAATTGTTATATTCATTTATTATTCACGAGGCAATACTACTTAATATGTTATTGTTCCGTTATATAAATGTTCGATAATTACTTAGGAATCGTTGTTTTAGTATCATCAACTAGACTTAATTATTGCACTCAAAACGTTGGGATAAGTGATCATATTTTGGGTTCATCAACAATAACGCATATCTTAACAATGGATCCCAACAATGGCGGAAAGCATTGAAGTATAATGATCATTTAGATATGAAAATCAAGAGTACCTAGCGATGATAAAATAAAAAAGTATTGTTTGGAGAATGTTGGATATTGGATTATTAGACCGAATAAAGTATAACATCAAACTAAACCACTCGGGATTTTTTTTTGTCTTGCACACTTAACAGTTCATATATTTGATCAATTACATTTCAACCAGAAGCTGTTTTCCCTGCGTATACCCAATGAGACTTGAAGAATTGAATTCAATGTAAAAATCAAATACATTTATGAATGACGAAGACATTTTGGAAAAATCAGTCAAATGGAAATAGATTTGAATATTTATATTCCAAATATATACAGATACCTTGCTCTTATTCTTTGGTTTGAAAATCCACATAATTATTTTAATTTCATACACTTAACCTACGAGGCCGAAACTTTTTATAATCGACTTAGAAAATAGAATAAATTTTGTTAAAAAAACCAAAAAATGTTATGTGTCGGTGCAAATTAAATACAGGCATAATTACCCAGAATCCGCCAACACCATGGACTCCAAATCCACCGACTGGGTCGTCAACTCTAAGCTTATCGAGGAGAAAGACTCCAATTATGGCAAGAAGGCCTCCAATCCCTCCGATCACAATAGCTTCCCAAGGTTTTATGATCGCACAGCCCGCTAAAATGAACAAATTCATTATAAGGCAAGATGGACATCGATCCTTCCGATCAAAATAGCTTCCTATGATTACGTAATGATAGCACAGCCCGCTAAAATGAACAAATTCATTATAAGGCAAGATGGACATCGATCCTACCGATCAAAATAGCTTCCTATGATTACGTTATGATAGCACAGCCCGCTAAAATGAACAAATTCATTATAAGGCAAGATGGACATCGATCCTACCGATCAAAATAGCTTCCTATGATTACGTAATGATAGCACAGCCCGCTAAAATGAACAAATTCATTATAAGGCAAGATGGACACCGATCCTTCTGATCAAAATAGCTTCCTATGATTACGTAATGATAGCACAGCCCGCTAAAATGAACAAATTCATTATAAGGCAAGATGGACACCGATCCTTCCGATCAACATAGCTTCCTATGATTACGTAATGATAGCACAGTCCGCTAAAATGAACAAATTCATTATAAGGCAAGATGGACACCGATCCTTCCGATCAAAATAGCTTCCTATGATTACGTAATGATAGCACAGCCCGCTAAAATGAACAAATTCATTATAAGGCAAGATGGACACAGATTTCTTGATCAACATAGCTTCCTATGATGACCTTATGCACAGCAGGCTAAAATCTTGGATGAAGATAGCAAAGCCGGCTAAAATTAACTAATTCATTATAAAGCAAGAAGGACTCCGATCAAAATAGCTTCCCATGATGACTTAAAATGAAATATACAAATTCATTTTAAGACAAAGGTCGTCTAATCTGTATTCTCGATAGGGCTTCGCGGAGCTTTGAATCCCATAATATACCCATGGTGTCCAATTGGACAAATCTCCATCAAGTCCCACAAAATCAAACGCGATGTTAAGCCTGTTGAGGTTCCACCCTGTCCATTTGGTGTATGTTGCTTTTCAAAAGCTAAACAGGCATCAAATTCCTCCAATCGGTATCACCTCGCATTGATTTATGGTCGATTTACTTTTAATCGTCGGAATTTTAGCTGATCAACTTGACGGAGTTGACAAATTTTGAGAAAATTTGAGAAAACCGATAAAGAGGAAAGCTCGTCAATGTTGAAGATGTCTTCTGATGATCAAAATTCAAGATGTAAAACTCGCGGAAGAAAGTGCATTACATAAGTATGCATTATACAGGATAGGCGTTGATAAATCAAATAATGTGAAGTCTTTTGTTGACCATTATTAGCTGACTAGTTTGGAAATGTAAATGTTACCATAGCTACAGAATGAACGAAACACAACATATTCTTCCGTTATATTATCCTCTGTATGATTAAAGGACCACAGAAAGTATCGAAACAGATTTAATTTCAGAGAATAAAACTTTCTGAGGATTTAAACAGGTGCATATGTTGGCAATGCATAAGCTTTTTGAGACAATGACTCATCGAGATAATAGAATAATTTGGACTTTGAGACAGGGAAGGTGCAAACATCTGACCGACATGTTTTTCTTAAATGTTGTCTGGATCTTCACCCGTTTCTGAAACTTTTTCCAATAATAGATGCATCAATATTTTGCGTTTTGAGACAAGGTTAACCCCCATGGTCCTTCAACAGTCACTAATTGATACGGGGTATTAATTATAGTAGTACCGTTGACCACCGTTTCGCGTTTTGAGACAAGGTTAACCCCCATGGTCCTTTAATAGTCACTAATTGATACAGGGTATTAATTACAGTAGTACCGTTGACCACCGTTTTGCGTTTTGAGACGAGGTTAACCCCATGGTCCTTTAATAGTCACTAATTGATACAGGGTATTAATTATAGTAGTACCATTGACCACCGTTTTGCGTCTTGAGACAAGGTTACCCCCATGGTCCTTTAATAGTCACTAATTGATACGGGGTATTAATTATAGTAGTACCCTTGACCATCGTTGAAGCTTACGCCATCATTTACTTAAGTTCAGGTAACCAACACATTTGTCAATCTGCCTAGCATAGTTTCTGTCCAATCATATCCCCATGGTGGCAGTTTCTAATGTTAAGTCATATTATACATACATATATAATGCAAGTATCAAATCGCCTAAGTATATTACTTTTATTTATTGAAGGGAGCAAATTCCATAAGCATATTATTTATTGGTGTTGATGAATGTTATTAATCGAATATGAGACAGTGTTGCACACATGAACTGGGCGTTAGGTACAACCCCCTCTATAACTTTGGCAAACGAAAACCATTTTTGATCACTTTGTGTTTATGTTTGGCAATTAAAAAAAACTCCATCAGCTTTTTAAACTAGTGTAATCAATGTTGTTGCTCAATATACACTTATAAATTCAGACACTTTGAAGCCGCTCTTAGGCACCCTGGTATATTACCATTTCAAGGAACAAAACAAAGATTAAAACATCGACATGATCCTATACAGTTATGGAGAGAACCCGGATGTAGACGAAGTTGTACCATACATGAGAGCTCTTCAAACAGGAGGTAACTAAACTGAACTAAACTTACCTGTGACAGACACAAGAGCACCCAATATCCCGTTTACTAAATCGGGAACATGAACCTGTCCCTTTGTACGAATTCCGCTAAAACGACAACAATGTTCAATTAATACAACATATGTTGGTGAATATCTAAATAATGCAAATAAAAGATTATGCCATTCTATCACATTTGGGTTCAATCAATCATATAATGCCATTATGCATTATATGTTTTAATTATATGAAATTATTATTTGTTTCTCTAATTTATATCATTATTTTGAACTTAAAACGATACCGAACAGTGATTATATGGTTAAAACTACAGATTACTTATTGATTAGTAATAGTCAGTCTTCTATACCTGTAAATCATGCCACTAGCACCCCCTCCCATGGCCCCAACAAGCGTTGTAGCGGCTGATCTTGAATAATGGAAAATAGTTATTAAACGAAATAATTTGAAATCAGTAAATAAATATTGTATCTTTGCGGTATACGAGGGGGCGTGTTCTTCAGTGCGTCATCCACAAACGTTTGATATTTTTAAATTGTATAACATTTTTTTATACTAGTTATGCAGGACACTACATCATGGAACATATCTGTTGCCGAAATGACTCCTCAAGTGAAACATTTTTATAGTTTAATGACCAATTATATAATGCTAAATCAACATCTGCAAATGTGATACTTCAGCGCAAACGGGAGCACTTTTTTGAGTTTCAAAGGTGTCTAACTCATACAGGTTATACTGTATTTAAAACATATTATGCTTACTTTGCCGCAAGTTTCCATTTCCCTCCTGATATACCAAAGGTGCTTCCACAATTGAATGCGAGCCACCCCCACCTGCAAATCACGATAATAATCAGACGATAAATATGCAAATCTCGGCAGATTGTAAATAATACGCACCTCCGTTTATTTTTTAAGGAAACATTAAGAGACTACAAATACTAAAACAATTGCAAAACGCCCGTTGTTTAACAGTTTAGGGTGACTGGGGGTTACATACATGTTGATAAAGCACGTACCATAATATAAACATCCCCAAGATCGAGTTAGTGCCGTTACCAAGTGGAAGTGGTTTCGTTCCGTTGTCATAACGACCAAGGCGTGGTTTTAACAACGTTGTTGCAACAAGACCGGAAGCGGCCCCTAATAAATGTACAGTTCCTGAGCCTGCAATGTCGATTACACCCAATGCACCTAAAAAGCCATTCGTTCCCCATATCCAATGGGCCGGAATGCAATACACCAGAGTATTGAAAAATGAAAATATTGTGTAGGTTAAGAGTTTGGTTCTTTCCGCCATCATTCCGCTAACGATTGTCGTAGCGGTCGTTGCAAATGATAGTTGGAAGACGAACGTTGAGAAAACAACACCCATGTTGTCATTAGTGGCGTCTACAAAGAAACTGCCTACGCCGCAAAACGGGTTGCTGCCGACGTCCTCTCCGAAACTTAGACCGTATCCAAATGCCCAATAAGAGATACCGCCGAATATAACATCTACTGCATTTTTTACCATGATGTTGACTTCGTTCTTGAGGGATACTGCACCCGCCTCTAACATCCCAAAACCTGAAACATTTGTAAAACAAACACTGGTACAGGGTGGGCCAAAAACAATACCCAAGTTTAAAGATGAATATCATACGATATATGTTAAATTATACCATGTACTATATATCATTTAAAAGATAAATCATTTGCTAACCATATGACACCATCCGTTTGAAAAAACCGTTGTTTTCTTGAGGAATTACAGGCTAAAATTTACACCAGATGTGTCAAAAGCGACCAAAACATTATTTGCTGCGGATAACCAAATTGTGAAAAATTGAGGGAAATTTGAACTTTGGCACCTTCAAAAGAGGTGCATTTATAAAAAATAGAGCAAAATTCACCAAAAATACTTATTATCCTTTTAATTAACTATCAGTTGTGTATTACTCTTAGATGTTTTTAATTCTACGAGAAAGCAAAGGTTTTTCAATTGGATTGTGTCATATTGTTAGGAAATGATTTATATGATATGTTATACACGGCACCGTTCACGATAAATCATATGAATCATTCAGCTTTAATCTTCGGTATTGGTTTTTGCCCACCCTGTATACACATTAAAGTCCTTCACTTTGTTTGACCATCCGACTCAATAAAATTAACATTCGGGTACTATGCATATTACAAATCGGCAATAGTAGGTGTGCGAATGCTTTATAAATAAAATAACATAACTTTTCTCATTGCATTAATTAATCAATAGTAACGCAATTTGATTTTTGTTACCAGGTGTGTAATAGAGACACATAATGTTTTGTTTTGGTAACATAATGGGTGTAACACTGTCGTTATGCCATGAGACACGGAAGAAAATGGTATTGCTATTCTATGTTAATGACAACGCCCTGGTATTTGAAGTACATGTATGTATTGTATAGAAAAACAAAAATTCCAAGATCTCTGGAATTTTTGGGAGAAAGGAGTTTCCGTTTACTTTTGTTTCGCGTTTGCGGTTACTAAAGCCAGTTGAACCTTGATTAATGACTCGTCTAAGTTGATCCATTGTTCAACGATTAATTAGTGCGCGTTTTCTAAAGTCATATATAAGGTTGAATATGACACTAATGAATTACTTATTGACACAATAACAAAGGTTCATATAATCACGATAATTAGACAACACGCCAGTTCTTAGAAATCCGTTCAACGTTGTGTTGTTAACTCAATCACGAAATACGAAAGGGAACAAGAACGAACCAAAAGACAATAACATCTTGTTGATGCTAAAATAAAATGAAGAATCAAATTCAATTGAACTGATCACAATTTGCATGATTTGGGAATTCTAAATTTAGGAAAGTTGAAATATTTTCGTGAACAAAATCGGATGCGGCTTCACAACTGATTATGTGTTTTTTCATCGGAGTGGTTAATTTGCCGAATGGTCAAATTATATCATTTTCCTCATTTTAATTTTTCTAATAACGAGAAAGATCCATAACATTTTGAAGATAATATTTTCGACATTTAATTTTCCGAACTTGGCAAAGATTAGGCAATAGGCAAATTAAATGATTAGGCAAAACACGGTATCTGTTAATGTAGACATAGCGCGAACGAAACATGTTAAGAATACCCTTTTAATAACGTCTCACCTGTTTGCATTGTGAATATTATAAAAGAAGTTGCTAATATCCAAATAGCATCATCCCATGTCATTTCAGTATCCACTTTACATATGTAACTTTCATGTATATTTGCTGTATTCCCCATTATTTTGATTTTGAGGGATACCTACGAGGCTTGGATAACCAGTTATATCTTTTGAACCCTTGTTTCCACAATACACTTGCGTGTTTACTCTTAATAATTGCGACTACTGATCAATTAATCCAAGATATTTATCATTTTTGCATTTACATTATGTAGTACCACAGTCATGACATGATATTTATTATATACAAGATGGACTAAAAATGTAGATAATTCTCATAATGTATGAAATCCAATCAGATTTTGCAGGGCAATGATTGCAGTGATATTGATTCCACAAATGGTACATGTATAATTATATTCACATTGTGGTACTTTAATGCGTTAAGTAAACAGTCAACACGGGTGTGGATGCAAACGTCCAGGTCCAAGGTAATGTTTGTCGTTACTTTTTTAAAATGAAAAGTATTTGATTTGGTTAAGACTCCCATATATAGGAATCAAATTACAGTACTGCCGTCCTAAATATTCTATCAAGAGACACTTTCAGTACACTCCCATCCAAAAGTTTGGCAACCCTAATCCCCTACTGGATTACATGTTCAAGCTTCTTTATTTATTTATTGATTGATTTTTTTTTGCATAATATGTAAACAAAAAACTACTTTTAGGGCTGGAAATATAAATTGACATAATTTCCAATAACTCAAATCTTTGCAATGATTAAAATAGATAGGAAATTGATGACAAGTCACCCCTCCCATCGAAATAACACAAGGGACGAACAATGCTTGTATGACTACTAAAATAGTATCTACAACGTTTTAGATGTTTTGTGTATTGGCTATCAATTTTAAATTTATTCTTCAACATGTATTGTAATAAACAGTAGGTATGAAATGTCCCTCTATGGTTTCGAATTGTGATACTGGTACTTGAATGGTGGGGAGAGGTGGGATTAGACAATGTTTCTTTTCACGTTGAATAATGATTTGGGATAATAAGATACGTTTTCCTTATGGCTAGTAGTGTGCTCTTAGAAATTTTTTGATCGGAAAATAAGAATAACAAGTTACATACTTGTGGGAGGGGTCACATTGACACACTGATCATGATCTTCTCTATAATGAGTAAGATCTGGAAATAATTTTCCCTGTAAAGGCAGAGTTAACCAATCAGGATTTTTCTCGATGCTGAATCAGTTTTTGGTAATGCCTGGGTCACGTTTGCTCCGATCAATCGGCCGGCGCCCGGCCGATTGAGTGTTTTTCTCAATATTGTATTCAATTTTGAACAAAATACTCAGTCAGCCGGGCGCCGTAGAGAAAATCGGAGCATATGTGACCAAGGCATTACCCTATCTTTTCTAACACGATTTTCTTATTATTCAATACTTGTCTGGAAATGATTCTAGAAATACTGAAATTTAACCTTGTATTCGCGAATGCGAATGATGCCTATAGTCCATTTGTCATTTTCTGAACGTATGAATATCTAAAAGTATGATGTTTTTCTGTGGAAATACTATCATTAGGGATTATTGGAGTGATTTAGCTGGGTTGCCAAAAAAATAACTTTGGGGAAATTTTTTGTATCTATTACCATGGTAACATACCAGGTATATGGTGGTATCCCAACGCTAAGTCAATAGTCAACGCCATGTTAAGCGATTGCACCCCTCCCTAATCAGCCTATATAATTTTTTCCCCAAACAAACTTTTTCGGCAACCCAGTTAAATCACTTCAGAAAACCCTTATTATCATAAATCGACCATAAAACATCGTACTTTTAACAATTTCTAGGTTCACTATTGGATGTATAGGGGTGACAAATGGACTACTAGGTCACATTTGCCCTGAATCATCGGTCGGCGCTCGGCCGATTGAGTATTTTGTTCAAAATTGAAGGTCATATCTCAAAACTGTGGTCAGATGTGAAGTCCCGGCCGGCCGGCGCTCGGCCGATTGAGTATTTTGTTCAAAATTGAAGGTCATAATCGACCGGGCGCCGGCCGGTGAATCGAAGCAAATGGGTGACCTATAGGCATTACAGCTACCAGATTTACCTGCTATTTTATTTGCAACTCATTTAAGTATGAATGGAAAAGTGGCAGGTACTCTTTATTTTTAAATGAGTTGCCAATAAAATAGAAGTTAATCCCGTAGCCGACATCCGAATGTTGCATTCGCGAATACAAGCTTCTTAGTGTATCTTCGACGTATTAAATAATTTGAAAATCTGGTACAATTATTTGAGGTATGACTAATAACAGTGTAGAATTATTGCTTCTAATTTTTTCTTGACATCCTGTATGTTTCATGAAGCCCCAGTTGTAAACTATTATGTCTTTCCTTCAGAAATTCCGGAGATTTACTTATCCCGATTAAAAGAATAATTGCAAAGGCGATTCTTCGTCTTCATCTCTAGAATGCTTCTAAAATGAATGTATCATAAAAATATCATTTGCCCACCCTGTATAATGTAAATATTAATGTATCATCTTCAAAAAGGGTGATGAAAACAAAAAAGCAATACGTATACAGATAAACAATGTTAATAAAAATCAACATCTTCATATTAAAATATAAATATCTCAACTTGTCATTTTACTTGTATCAACATATTCAAACCATGGGGAGAGATAACTCATAAACTAATCATTTAGTAAATGCGAGTCATTTTTAAAATCTGAATTCAAACGTACAAAATATAAGGTGTAAAAATCGTTTTATAACCATTTTGAAATCATACTTTAGGTGTAGTTCAAGAACGAGAAACGAATGTTTCAAGAACCAACCTGTCTGCATTGTAAATATTATGAACGAGGTTGCCAGTATCCATGTGGCGTCGTCCCATGACATAGCCTCCATTCCGCATGTTTTACATTTAAATGTTGTTGTTGTTGTATTTCCCATTATTGTGCTGTTTTCATTTTGCGTTGTCAAGTTCTCGTACTCCATAGCTCATATATTTTATGCATTTCACTGTTCTGACATATGTCATTCCGTGGTTTCCTATATCAATACGTGGTGTCATACATCAAGTGCGAGAGTAGCAAGATTGTATCGTAATTGAAACTGGCTAATCAAATAGACGACGTGCGTTTCAAATTATGAAGTATCGGTGTAATACAAATATCTATTACCCATTATATATGTTTAGATGCCCAATGAAGATGACACGCTATCTACTTCTATACAACACACCCATTATGACTGTTAATGGAATGTGAATCAATCATTTTCAGGTAATTGAGGATGCTTCAAGCAAAGCTTGGCAATATTGCTTATTAACACATGATATAATACAGTATACATTAAATAGTAGGGAGAAATAAATAATATATAATATACTATAGGTCGCATATTACACCAGGGGAGGAATATATAATATACTTTATATATTATACTATATATACTATAAGATAGTTATATTTAAATATTTGTTTAACAATGCATTTTACTGGATAACTGTGTCATAATTATGTCTTGTAATTGATTTTGTGAGGAAGTCAATTGTTTTGGCTTGAAACACAATAAAATCTTGAATCCTGAATCTTATATAGTATATCACATTTTAGGAGAGAAATAAATATGCGCCTGTGTTTTGTTTAAGCTATATTTAATTCTCATTTATGTCATACTTATTCTATACAAATTCTTAAAAACGATCTACAGAAAATATTATGGACAGCTATGTAATCTTAACTTGGGTTACCTTTTATAAACATGCATTTCAATTCAATTCAATTTATTTCATTTGATAGGATATTCTAAACACTAATTAAGATATCGGCTAAATGAGCTATTTTGATTATCAACGTAATCTTCAAAATTCGCATTCTTTTGGCAAACATCGAATTTTGTCTGTTGGCCTACCAGGTGGGAAGAAAATCATATTTTTTTTATAAAATCAAACTGAAACAAAGCTTGATATAAGTACCTGAAGAGCACGCAGCAACAGGACTTAGCTGCAACACATGCAACTTCAGTATATCAGAAACAATTAATTACAATCAAGAGTTACACCAGAAGACGTTCATGGCCTCACTTGACAGCGCTAAAGCTTACGATACCGTATGTCATGCAGGGTTGTTCCTCAAGCTATACTCTATCGGAATAAGGGGAGCTCTATGGGACATCTTATACCACCTGTACAATAACTTCAATCGGATCAATCATATTCAAGGGTCACATGTCAACCTTGTTCCCAATCAGTCAATCTGTCCGGCAGGGAGGGGTCCTTTCCGGATGGCTTTACAATGTATACATTGACAGTCTCCTGCAGGAGCTTGAAGCTTCAAACCTGGGGTCAGTCGTCCTGCACTGCATCTACCTATGCAGACGACATTTGTCTCCTTGCAAATTCAAAAGAATATCTAGAAGCACTTATAGACATTGATATAGGATACTCCCGGAAATGGACATTCTTATTTAACATGTCAAAATCCACTGTAATTACTTTCGGTGAAACGAAGGGAACTACTAGTAATAATATCATGACCCAATCCCGTAAATGTACCACTGATGCAGGGGAGTTAAAGGAAGTGTCGGAGGTAAAACACCTAGGAAATACATACAGCAACCACCAAAGCAATAGGAGCATAACGAATAAAGCCTGCCATATCATGAAAGGCTCCTTTGCATCTCTAGTAGGTGTTGGAGTGCATCCCAAGGGGCTCAATCCAACAACGGGCATTAAGTTGATAAAAACTATATGCGTACCATCTGCAATAAATGGATGTGAGCTTTGGAACAACCTTATTAAGTCAAACATAACGCAAATAGGAACTGCACTGAGATATATCATGAAAAAAGCTCTCGAGCTCCACAAACACACACGTCTGGGACATACTATACGCTCTATCAGACGGCATTAACAACAAACAGGCTACTATAGATCTGAGGAAACTATTCTTCCTTGGCCAACTTTGCCACTTGAATCAAAACGTGGCAGCCAAGTAGATGTTTCTTCTGAGAGCGCATATGTATGACTTGAACAAAATGGGACAAAGGGGGTTTATTTATTTAAGCTTTTTTGAGAACTATCTCCACGACGGCTTCTTTCCAAAAGAGAATTATGGCGAAACATTTGCAGATACGAAGTGCAACTTTACAATGAAAATCTGTCAATTCCTCGACAAGACATAAGAATACCTATCACTAGCGCCAAAAAGCTCACTATATGGAGATTAGCACTTGAAAAACCTAGACTATTAACTGTAGCCCATATTGTTGCCAAAGTAGTAGCACTTCCGGTAACATCAGTAAACACACTATGTGATAAATGTGGAATGTTCTACCAAGATCAATTAAATCATGCCTTGCTGAAGTGTCAAGCATACAAGGAACACAGACAAGCATTCATCAATGATATTAGAGCAATCTCTGGTAATGCGTCTTTACACCTCGACAACGTTAGTGCTATGGTGCAAGCCGATCTCTGCAATCTATGCCTAGAAGTGCCCTTCAAATACATCAATAAAATTGTAAGGCTGGGGGACATCGATTTAACTCCACCATATCCTACGTAACGTTTTAATTTATTTTATATAAAATGCAATTGTAAATAATGTTCATGTCAACTTGTATATAAATGTGCTTATGTTTAAAAACTCCAATTACAAATTGGGAAATAAAAGATACATACATACTATTACGAATCTGTAGAACTCAAAAGGGAATAAAGGAAGCAATTTAAACAAAAACCCGAGAACCTCTTTATATCGTTGGAAAAATAAGTAGCTTACATTTGACATTGATTTTATTGAAATGAATATTTATGAAATTTACTAGTTATCATGCTGAAATATGAAGTAGCTATGTACATTCATCATAATATAAATACTGCACATTAATATTTTTCCAATCACACTTTTTCTTCGTTCTGTTATTATCAGTTTTCCTTTATCTAAAGTATTTGTCTTGTAATACTTCGAATGTAATTGTTGCTAGTGTATGTTAATCTTTCTTATTCAGAAATTCCTGACGATCTGTTCATCTCGATTTCAATACCAAGTGCAAAAGTGATTAATGCATCTGCCACAATAAATTAAAGGATTTAAGCCCTGGACTCAGTGCATTGTTTGCTGAATCATACCATGAAAATGTTGTTTCCAAACCTTTGCACGACCGCGCAGCGAGAACGCAAAGTTTAGGAATCAAAGCCCGTGTGGAATGAAGCAGCTACAATGCATTTAGTCTTGGGCTTAAATTCTTTTCACATTTTCAATGAATTTGTTTTGCAAGGGTCAAGTTGGCAAGTCATCAAATCCAATGTGAAAAGTCCATTCATCACCATGACAGCTGTTTAACTAGTGACCTTGCATGTGTTATTGATATTTCACACACTGTTCATTATGTGAATACTCTGTTCTGATTGGCTGGAATCGGACACACCTTGCCTAGATATGTGTGAAACAGTTATTATAAACAAAGTTATCTCAGAATGAAATTTATATGAGCATTTTTGGTCCACTCTACATGTATATTATCACACACTTTTTGTGATGTAATGTTCATTCTGCGATACGGTGTTCGATGTGATAATTTTTCAGAGCGACATGACAGACCGTGGGGAAAACCTAACCGCATTTTAAACAATTTTTCACAGCAATATATCTGGATATGATAAGTCTGCAGAGTAGCCTAACACCTCAGTCACATTTCCTACGGCGACCGGTCTATTATTTCTGCGGTCAGTAGCATTTCTACCATCGCCGTAGAATTTCTGCGGTCGGATACTTTTGCAGTCACACTTTATACGTACGACAGATGTGACTGGTGTTAGGAATCATCAGCATGAACAAAGAGATCGGCTACTTACAAATATCATGAGTATTCAGGTATCAGGTATTAGCATGAGCTGTGAATCTGTTTTAGCTTTAAAATAGTTTGGCTAGGTGTCAGGTATGCATTGGTTTTTCATAACTGTATGAATTCAAAATAAGTTCTCTATAACATTTTAGTTAGGATTTATAAGCCTTTTAGTGAAAGTGATGAGGCTATCATAAAAATCGTTTCAAGGGGAGGTTCACTTATTGGTACACCAGATATATTGATCGATCAATAATTAGATTTTTTTTAAAAAGTAACCTGAACTTCGGCGCCAAATTTTAAACGTTTCACATGCATTTTCAAAAATATCAAGAATATTAATTAGTTCTTTTAATTGTTCTTTTAGAAACACAACCATCTTTTAGACCACCCTTATAAATACAAAGGTTCTTATACCATTCATTTTTTAAGAACAACGACTGGTAAAAATAAATATTTAGTCCATTCTACATAAGTCGTTCCAACAGTTGATGGAATCACATATGTATTCAAAAATGTGTAACGACATTTAAAAAAACCAACCTGTCTGCATTGTAAATATTATGAACGAGGTTGCTAATATCCATGTGGCGTCGTCCCATGACATGTCTTCCATTCCGCATGTTTTGCATTTAAATGTTGTTGTTGTTGTATTTCCCATAATTGTGATGTTATCAGTTAGAGTTGTCAAGTTATCATACTTTTCATACATTTCATAGAAATAGTCCTCTGTTATGATATCTGCTAACGGTGCAGTGTCATATATCAAATGTGAAAGTAGTTATATATGATTCGCTTGATAGTATCATAAATGAATCTTGTTGAACAAACGGGGCAAATTCAATTTAAAACGCTCTGTTCTAGCTATAACACGCGGATCTATTGCACTTCAGGCGATTAATAAAAATGACATGCCGTCTACGTCTATATAAAACGTCCATTGTGATTTTTAGTAGAATTTAATAAGCAATTATTTCCAGAGAACTGAGGAAGCAAGACACCTAGCTAGGTAATGTCGAATCGTTAATTCGAAGAGTAGCTAGTATACGACAGAAACACAGTAAATTACTTTACATGGGGATATCTGATAGATTCCTCATATGTATGTTTAAAAGTGAGTTTGTATTTTTATTGAGTAACATACAATTTTCATTTTTTATTTCTTTCATCAACAATTTTGCTGCTTTTAGCCCTAATGTGTGCGGGGGGGGTCAATCCGACCCCCCACTCTCGATTTTTTCAAGAGTACTTTTTGCAATTTTTATTTGCGTCTCTGTTATTTTTTCAGCTTGAGCCACA